ACTGTTTTCCTACTATCATGAGAAAAAAAAAAAAAAAAGGACTGAACTGTGAACTGACCATATAGTCAGACCTAAAGGTCTGGATCCCGAAGACCGTCGCGTGTGGGGTAAGTCTGCTAACAGCACTTACACCACACACGCTTCTCACCCCACGTCACTGCAGAGAAGACACCCGGACACATCCTCCCTGGAGACAAGTGTTCCTGCTGCACCCTTTGCTCAGAAAGATGCTGCCAGCCTTGCTGGGAAGCCAGCACTGGAGCCGAGTGGAGGTGTTAGAGCCGCTGGGGTTCAGGGGCTGATATTCAGAGTGCCCCAGCAGGTCCCCGTCTCCCTGACGGCCTCACCCCGAGCCGCCCCCACCCCCTTCCCCATTGGCCCCAGCTCTGCATTTAAGCTTAGGTGGGAGGAGAAGGGAGAAAAGGGAGAAGGTCCCCCAGTCTCTGTTTAAATCTTTCAATTATAGCGTTTATTTCATGCTGAGGATAATCCTCTATCACATCCTTCCTTACTTGTTGCCCATTAGTATCCAATTCTCTTTCCCATCTCCACACTGGTTTTATATCCACAAATTAATCTGAGGAACCAGCCTCATCAGAACCTTTGGAATCCCAGATATCTCCACCCCATCTGCCAGGATCCCACCGTACCCCTGCTTCTGTGATCACAGAATGCAATCTCCTATGATTCACTCGTCCCCTTCGCTTCTTACACTGTGCAACCCTTCCTGCAGCTCATCCAGCTACAGCCTGATGAGTGTCCAATTTATCAGCGAGCAACTCATTTCGGCACTGCCACGTTACGATTTGATTCTGCCAATCCCACATCGGTCGCTCCATGTGGGAGCGCTCTAAAAACAGTTTTTCTTTCTGTCGGTGCTGTTTCCGATAGGCTGTTAACAAAACCCATCCCCGTCTTCCTGAACCCACAATTGCTGTTTCGATAGCCAATTTTTGGATGCGTTTTAATACATCCAGTGGTTCAGCTTCTTTTAACCGACTTTCCCGCTGTTCACATGGTCCTTAGCCCACTCGAGAGCCAGTGAACTGTAGGGAAGGTCTTCCCACCTGGGAAGTTCAGACGGAGCTGATTCATTACGTTTAGATTTTTAAAATGACATTTTGTTCTGATCCTGTCCGTGACACCACATTTGTTTTGCCAATGGACGGGGTTAACACAAAGGACACAGACACCAAGCTAAAGAAACAGGCTTATTTTACTTTAGTTTAAAGCAGCAGAAAGAATAAGCAAGGTAACGCACCTAGTCATTAATACATAAAGCTAGCTATAGTGATTAAGAAAGATCCATCACCAGTTGCCCTCCTACTTTACCATCACCCCGCCCCGTGCACCAGCTGGGGAGCCCCGTCCCAGCGAAGGATCCGAGAGCCTTTCCCAGAAATTGGGCAGTCCCACGCAGGGCGTCCGCTCGTAGGTGAGGTCTGCGTCTGTGCTGGGAGAGGGTCTGGCTTTTATACAGTTTAATAAAGAAATCCGTATGAGAAAATGCACAGGGGACATCTGGTAGATTGAGTTGCCTCATTCAGGCACGTCCAGATCTGGCCAGGATCCGGGCACATCCGAGGAGTTCCTGGTTTAATTTACATTTAAGATTTGTAGTTCCTTCCTGATGCTTACCCATCGTTTTCAGGGGTTGGTCCCAGGGTCACTTTTCATGCTGAGAAGATGCTGGTTGCTGGTTCACTCAGAAGACAACTCTGGCTCGAGGCCCGCGGTTTAGGCCTTTTTATTTCAGTTTAGGTGAAGCCACATCTCACAGCCCAACAGAGACAAGGCTGCGGCAGCTCCCCGCCCCCACGTCCAACCAGCATGTATTCCATGCAGGCACACAGACAAGGACAAAAGAGGAGTATAAATACTACAGAAACACTCCATTCACACAAACCCAAGCAGCACCGATAGCCTCACCCTGTTTCTCTGGTTGGCTGATCAATGACTGAGGATGATTCTTGCTCCGTGATCAAGAATCAGTGCTGAAGAATTGCTAGTGGGAAATACATGTGTGTGTGTGTGTGTGTGTGCTGCCAGTCCCCCAGCAGATGGGCAGTGGACTCCTGGATGTCAGTGTCCCCAGATGCCCGCACCTGGACGCACGAGCCTTCAGGGTCCTCGATGCAGACCTACACCAGGGGCAGAAGGGGAGTTGGGGGAAAGGAAAACCGTGGGGAAGGCAAAAGAAGGCAGGAAGACGGGCAGGTAGCACAGCTGGAGCTAGTGTACGTATCTTTGCAAGTGCAAACTCACCTGACTGTACATAAATTACATTTACATATTGTGATTTAGGGAAATGGATGCTCAGCAGAAGTAAGGGAGGTAGAAGGGATAGTAGGTAGGGAATGAAAGGGATCTGGGTAATCGTGCTGCATAATCTTATCCGCCAACAGAATCAACCAGCTTTACCTGGGTGGAGAGGCCACCTTAGCCTGGGAGAGAAAAATTTATGTGTGAACAATAAATAGCCAAATGCCTCATCATCCAATTAGTGATGCGGAGGAGTGGATGAATGAGGGTCCCGTTCTTGCTATGCAGTGAAACCACCGGCAGGAGAACGGGCTTGAAGGAATCAGCAGGGAAAGGCGACGCTGTGGAGCGAGACTCTAGTCTGGCGCTGCAAAGAGGCATCAGAGGTGTAGAATAATTGGGGGGGGGGCCTGATTATGCCACTCAAGGCCACGGTCTGGTTGCCCGTGAAATACGACTGAGTGGTTTTTTCCACTTACCCGGTGAGGTGTGTGCGGGGGTGAGGCCCAAAGGGCTCTCGCTTCTGATGCCAAGTGCCTGGCCCTGACCTGCCCCAGGCACAGGGTTGGGTGGGGAGTTCGATTTGGGGAGTAGACCTGTGACACGGGTGTCCTAAGGCAAGCTGGGGGAGGACAGAAACCTCCCGCGGAGAGGAAGATCAAGGCTTGATCTTGATTTTCAGTACAAGTATCAGCCACGAAAGCAGGGCCTCACGATCCTTCTGCCTTTCTGGGTTTTAAGCAAGCATCCAGGAGACAGGGGGATGAGGAATTCCAGGGATGAATCGGCGCATGAGGAACTCAGGCGTTTAGGATGTTCTGCTCCGGTCAGCCCAACGACCTGGGGAATTCAGGCAGTTCCTGCAGGGACTGCTCACGCTGGGGAAGTCTCGGCCTCCCCATCACATCGCTCCCCTGGGTGGCCCCGAGGAGAGGGCCCAGAGCGGTGTCGGTCCCTGGTTGGCCTGGGAAGGGCCCCGCATCTCCAAAACGATCCCGCAAACCTCCAAATCGCCCCCCAAGCCCCGAGAGCAGTCCCACGTCCGCATTCCGCAGGGCATCAGCCGTTCCCACCTTCATCGATGAGCGGGCATTCCGTCTTGTACCTGCCCCCAGGCACACCAGCCCCGTCACCCCGCGTGATCTGGTCCCCTGCCCCCTTTCCCACCCCTCCCCGCCCCTCTTACCGTTCCCTGAACTGCCCAGAAATGAAAAGCCGCTCTGCGGGGCAGACCGCCTGGCCTGGGCGAGGGTCCCAAACCCACACGTGTTTCACCAGTAACTCCTGGGAGGAACACATCCAGGTCCCACCCTCCTCGCCCAACAATGTCCCGCTCTCCCTTCACACCCACGTTCCGCACAGACAACAAGGAGCCTTGTGCTAGAAGAAAGAAAACTCTTCCTTTTTTAAACAGAACTTTTGTCAACCCTTGTTCCTCAGGTTTTTCTTTTTTGCAAAGATAAAGTATTATCCGAACGACCTCTGTGCATATATATATCTGTATCTATCTCCTGTATCTGTGTGTGTGTGTGTGCACACATACATTTACACACTTAAAAACACATCTGAAAACTTGTGCTCCTCACAGCGGGCCCTCCTACCTCACAGCAGAGAAGACAACTCCATGACCTGGGTTGAGTGGTGGGGTTTTTTTGGTGGCAGGGGAGGGGGCTATCGGGGCGGCCCCCTGTGAGAAGCTTCTCGAAGCTCCCCCAGCTCCAAGTCAGCTCCACCTCTGCACCAAAACAGACAACCAGCTGCGCCTCTGCGAGAACGAATTTAAGAAGAGATGTGGGGAAGAGAAGTTGCTGCAGCTGCGTGAACACCAAGGTCAGTGGGGGAACGGAGGAAGAAAGGAGGGGGGAGGTGTGCCGGAGCAGAGACCCCCCTGTATCCTGTGGGGAGACGGCAGGGAGGCCCCCCCTGCCACCCATGGAGATCTACGGTGGAGCAGACACTGATTTATGGCCTGGGAGGGGCTTCGCATGGTTGATCAAGGTGATTGTAACCAAAGGAGGCCAGGGCCTCGTGGGAAGCAGCATCCCCCGCTGCTGTAATTCAGCACTGGGAGGATTGCAGCATGCGGGGGAGTCCCACGCCGGAGCAGCTCGGGAAGGGCTGCAGCCGTGGGAGGGAATCCAGTCGGAGGAAGTTAGTGACCCATGATGGAGCAGTGTGGGGAACGCTGCGGCCCATGGGAGGGACTCACGTTGGAGAAAGTTTGTGGAGGACTGTCTGCTGTGAGAGGGGGACCACGATGGAGCAGGGGGAACAAGTTCCAGAAGCTCCTCCCACTGAAGATGAAGGAAGTGGCAGCGCTGACTGCACCCCCCATTCCCTGCCCCTGCGCCACTGGGGGAGGAGGTAGAGATATGGGGAGCAGAGCTGAGCCCAGGAAGAAGGGAGGGGTGGGGGGAAGGTGTTCTCAAGATGTGGCAATGCTTCTCACTGTCCTACTCTGGTATGTGTTGTTAGTGTCTGTAATAAATGTCTGTTCTTTTCTTCTTCCCCTAACGAGTCTGCCTCTTGCCCGTGACCACAATGGGTGATCTGCCCCTCCCTGTCCTATCTCAAATCCCAAGTCCGGCTTATTTTTCCCTTCTCATAGCTGGGGTGGAAGGGAGGAGTGAGCAGCTGTGTGGTGCCCAGTTGCCCTCTGAGCTCAAACCAGGACAAACCGCAAAAAAGCTGTCCCCCTCAACTAGAGGAATGCACTGAACCACATCCACCCGCGGCTCTGCAGGGAATCCCACCAGCTCCAGGTGGGAGGCTTTGACTTGAGTGTACACACATCACTTTACTTCTAGACCCTGGCTGGATTAGACAGTGCCACGCTAGGGCAGGTGCCACGCTCACCTGTACCCAATCCTTGGGGAGAGCAAGCCCAAGGACACCAAACAGTCATTTAACAGGCGGCAAGCAGTCCTCAGTTTTCAGCTGGACTGTGACTTTCTAAATCAATTAGATACTTTCTAAATCAATTAGATACCTATGGGCAAAAATGGAGAGAAGGGAGAACGGCGAGGAAACGTCTTTCTCAGAGAGGTGGCCACAGTAACACAGCCCATCTGTCCAGAACAATGTTTCTGCATATTAAAGGAGAGTCAGTGAGCAAGGAGCCCCTGGAGGAAATGTCTCTTCATTCCACCTGAGAGCTCCTCACCGCCTTTGAGGAAAGACAACAACGCAAAGGAGTCAAAACAGAGTAGAGTCAGAGGTCCAGGCTGGCAGGCGGGGTGACAGCCCGCCTCTAGTCATAGGCATCATCATCATCAAAGTAAGAATCACAGTCAAGGTTATCTGACTCGTCATCGAACAGAAAGTTGTCTTCATCAAGGTCGTCATCGTCATCGTAGTCTACCTGCCACTGCGGTTCATACTCCTCATCTTCAACCTCTTTGCCACCTTCATCTGTGTTGGGGGAGTTGCAGAAGACGGTACTTTTTGGCCTGTTGAGGAGAGCACCAAAGCAGAGCCCTGGCTGTGAAGCCAGCCTCCCACCACCCTCATCCTCCCTCCTACCACCACCTCAGCCTCCCCACCCACCGACGCGCCTCAGGGGCGGCAGCAGCCACGCAGACGCGCCCAGGAGGTGGGGGTGAAACGGCCTTTTCCACGCACGCAGCACAGGGCTGTGTCAGAGCCACCTGTGACTGGGCCAACAAGCTGCTGGCCGCCACCAGCTCTGGTGTCTCAACCTCACTCCGAGCAGACCAGAAACCCTGCTCTGAAACAGTGTCTCTTGACTCAGCTGTCATTCTTTCTTGCAACACCCAGCACCCCGTTCAGCTCCTGGCAATACAGCAGCTGTCAGAGGGGATTGGTTACACTGGGACAGCAGACGCCCGTTGGGATTTCTTGGTTTAAACTGCATGTCATACAGGGATGGACTTTGTTTCAAGCTCATCACTTTCCATATTTAACACCTGACAGCTCAGTCCTCTAGGACAGGGAAACGACAAACCAGCCATTTCACCTCCCAACACGTTATTTTATGGCTGTGTCACCTCTTCTCCATTCCCTTTGTAAAATAAATGGCAGGCCCTTCCATCTCCCCCCCATGTATTCTTGCTTCTCTCACCTAGACACCTCCTAGATCTCTGATACAACTCTGACGAAGAGAGTGTGACTCTCTACAGAAACCCAAGAGAGTCCAGGGGCAGCAACTTCCCTAACCACATCTGCCAGTGACGGAACTTTCTCGACCATGCCTGCATACCAAGTGGAGGTTTTGCTGGTCCCCCTGCACCACTGTGTCACTTACGTTGTTATCTCAAACCACAACACAGGATGCAAGTAATCAGTATCTGTGACCAACTCTTCTGTCTGTCAGTGAACACGGGAGAAAACTGGCCACCTGCTTTTTGTCTGCACTCCCCCAGCCTTTCCTTGGTACCCCGCCAGGAAAACTCACCCTATAAAGGCAGGGGCTGAAGCAGGCACATTTGAGAGTTCCACCCTTCTCTGACCAGGATCTGCCGAAGTCTGGAGCCCAACATGGAAATCCTGCTAGCACGGAAGAACAGCCAGAAGAGAGAGACAACGCGTGATTTGGGGTGTATTTTGTGATGCCAACCCCTTCCCTACACACACGCTGCACAGAGGTTATCCCCTCAGCTGATCAAGCCCCTTTCTAGGTTTGCCCAAGGTCAAACTAGACCAGAGCAAGACAAGCCACTAACGGGCGTGGGGACTTCACCTGTGTGGAGTGCCAGAGAATTGCGAAGAGACGCTCCTTGATCTGGTGTACCAACTCCAAACCAGTACTGAAATGCTCTGCTTTCAGGAGCTGAAGAGAACAGGCCAGGTCCTGGTACTGCAGCAGGGCTTCCTCTGCAATTCAAGGCCAACAAAGTCACGCTGCTTCCCACACTCTCAAGCACAGACCGATTCCCTGGGCTTTGTTTATGGAACCCGACTGTGAAGCAGTCCCTTGGCTCCAATCATGAAGTTCTCACAGCTACTTAGGCCTCCCGTGCACACACACTCCCCTTTCAGAAAGGAACACGTTGCTCCTCTACTGCACCAATCTCCACCGGCAGCCAAACTGCTTCAGTGGACTTCCCAGAAATCACATCAAGGCGGCAAAAACGGGCTGGGACCAGTGAGAGAGACCAGCTGGGTGCTGGCGCGTGTGCTATCGCCCCACTACAGAGCTGCCACCCTTCCAATCAGACAGCTGGGAACGCTAGTCTCTCCTTTGAGAGGCTGCAGGACTTACCCAGAAGGATCTGCAGAGCATTAGTGTGCAGCTCGAGGCTCTCAGTCTGCTGTTCCACAACGTCCATGCTCTCATGGTCCTGGTTATAGTAGCTGTACACACAGGAGTAGGCCAGCACCTGCAGGAGTATGGATCGTGCTGTAAACATCCTCCTTCAGCTTCAGAGAGGGCAAGGAGAGAGCAGCATCAAACCCTTCCAGCCTTCCTCAGGTATCAGTGGCTGAGAGAACTCCTGTTGTGAATGAACGACCCCTAAAGCCATTCCAGGCCCTCAGCAGGAACAAGACCACTGTTTCCATTTAAAGAAATGAGCCAGAAAAGCCAACGGCAGCAAGCAACAGTGATATGTATCCTGGCACCCACAGGGGCTACCATAGTGGGTCAGACACCCTCGTTCCATGGGCCTCTCTCAAAATCCACTCTGCCTGCACAAACAAGGCGTGTATTGCAAAGGCAATACTGCAAAGGCAATTCCCATCTCCTTTCTGTGTTTGAGGGGATAGAAGACATTGCAGGCCTGGGCTGTCACAGGCTTGCTGCACACATCCAGCGGCTGCACTGGAAATCTTTCACCACGTGGCTATGCAGTAGGTAACTCAGTGCTCCCAACACACCCACGGCTCATGAAATTAAGGAAGGAAAATCATAATGTGAGCACTGAGAGGGACTTCCTAACTAACACGGCATCGGGAGAGCTTTCAAAAGGTAAGTACCACCATGGGGGCATTTCAAACTGGAATGGACCAAACCCAGTTTATGAAAACCCTGAATATAGATCCTTGTGCTGATTCCACGGCGCCAACTTGAGCTAAGCTCCAAATCCAATGTCCTGACTGTGAGGAACGCCGCAGACAGAGCCCAACTCAGAGTGAGAACAGGGAAAGGCAAACACGAGCTCTTCCCCTGTCCTGATGCTGTTCCTCCCCTCAAGCTTTTTCTGACTCCCCTTGCTTGGAGTAGAGCAAGGTTGGTGTCTCCTCGCTTTAAGAAAGACATAAAGCACACCTATAGAATTAGACCTAACATGCTTGCTGAGGTTTATCCAGCCTTACCTTCCGTGCCTGCTCTAGCACTTTGCAGGCATGAAGAACAAAAGTCAAAGACCTAATTTTTGGCATCTCACTGATGGAAGAAACTCTGTTCCTCAGACTCGTGGCAAATTCCTGCAATAATTGAAGGAGGGGAAAAAAAAAAAAGTCAATGTCAAGCTCCACAAGATCGAAAAAATAGCACCTTCTACACCAATAATTGCTAAGCATCCTGAAGTGCCAGCCCAGCAGATGCAGGCAGCAGGAGAGCATTTACTGCGTCCAACTCGGACATCTGTACTGTGCCATCACTTCAACCTTTTACAGTATCTCAGCTCTAGACAGAGGTCAGCCTTCAGTTGCCATCGCTCCCAGGTACTGCATTCAGTCTGAGCATCTGAACACAAGTTAGGCGTTGAGTTTCCACAACAGACTTGGTAGAAGAAAGCGGGCCAAGAAGTACCCCTTGCGTCAGAGCAAGGGTGAAATGACCAGGCATCCCCACCTGGATCCCAAGCCTGATTCTCAGCTTCAGGGGAAATACACTGAGGCACAACAGAAACTGTCCTGCTCACCTGGCCTAAGCCTGCATCTGCAAAAAGAGGAGGCCTTACCCTTGCACGATGATGAAAGGTGCATCTCTCATTGTAATCCTGGAAACGCTTCTCCTGCCAAGCCGCTTTACTCACCTGAAAGGAAAGGCAGAACTGACCTGTAGCGACTGCCCTCAAGCACCAGGGTTGCCTGGAAGTGGCTACCACACACGCTGACTTGACAACGCCATCGATATTACTGGCAAGCTCACAAAGCCCAGAGTAAAGGGCCCGAGCTGAGATCCTCACCCCCTCTCTCCCAGAGGCCAGGTGCATCTGACCGCAAGCACGAACCACTGGGATACAGCAAATTACTCACCATAGCAGAGCAGTTGTAATAATCCTTATGGGTTGGCCTCCAGGGCTTGAGGCAACGCCAACAGAAGCCGTGATTACACTTTGCACACGTCATACTGCACGGTAGGAGAAGAACAATGGGAATCAATCGGTCTTCACAGCCACCTGCAGACAGTTCCTCCCAGTGCTCCCCTGTATCACAGGGCTGGAGCGTGCGACCTAGTCACTCCCACTCACTCAGTACTATGCAGGTATTTTTTAAAGCCTTTTCTGGAAGCAGATGATGCTTAAGTCCAGTCGCTGTGCCTCCAAAAAGGAGCCGGGTAAACTAGAAGCACAATCTCACAGTACCAGCTTACCAAGCACTTGAAGGGTGAACTAAGAATTCCACAGCTGGGAGCGAGAGCCACCTGAGCCCCTCACCTCAGTAATGCAGCACTCCCCAGGGCAGAAAGGCACCGCACAGCCCGAGGGCCGCACGCAACATGTGGGGACAAATCACAGCCGGGCACTACGGGCTGTGCCAGAGCAAGAGGAAAAAAAAAACAGTGGTGACTCCGAAACCCTGGCTTCAAAGCTGGAGGTAACACCCCTATCATATAAAAAGCTGCCAGGGATCCAAGACAATTCAAAAGGGGCAGTTAGAAGAAAATTCCTTAGAGCTGCAGGAATAGGTGAGCATGAAAGAAAAAGCAGTGCCGAGCTATCCCCTCCCCTGCACCTCTGTATATCTACAGTGGATTCTGAGAATAGACAAGTGTGCACTGTAAAAAAGTACTGCAAAATGAGTGTTGGTTCTACTACAGAGCTATCGATGGATTTAACTCTGAATGCTGGTAAACCTTCCGCTTTTCACAGGAATTAAAAGCAATAAAGCAATCACTCATTCTTCTGAAACTATAAAATAGACCTGCTGTAACTCTTACTCCACAGCCCAAAATAAAAAAAAAGCACCATGGACCTAACTGTACGTCTTTGCCCTCTCCAGTAGCAAACAAAAAGGGATACTTACTGCAGGCACCCCTCATTTTTCTCTATCTGAGCCTGGCAGCTTGGGCAGTGCTTCGAAATGAGTTTAGCCAGATGTTTGCTCTGGGCTTCAGTTGTCATTCCCTCATAGTACCCATCATCATCCACCCACTGAGACATGTGGCTGCAGCTGGCAGGATAATGGGCCTGAAAGAGAGAGCCAGTCAACCACGCAAAAGCAGAACAGTGTGTGCCAAACCCAAGACAGCATAGCCCGTGACCCAGCTCCGCCTCACCTCTGGGAAGTTGCAGTTGAAGCAGGATATCCAGGAGCACTTAGAACAGGCTGCCCCGTAGCCAAGCCCATCCTTGAGGAGAATCTGATCACAGCCCTGAGGATTGGTGCACCACGTCAGGTTGGAGCAACACTCAACATACACTCTGAGGAGGGCTTTTTCATACTGCAATGAGAAGCCAGGAAGGAGATTTAAAGCAGAGAAGCTGCAAGGTTTGGCTTTACAAGCGGGGTCAGGCGCCTCTGGCCGAACTGCTCACAAGGGAACAGCACAAAGTGAGTTTACTCTTTTGTTCTCTTTGTGCAAATTCCCCACCCCCCCGTGTCGTACCTGGAGGCTGTCTCATATAATCACAGAACAGCTGAGGTTGAAAGGCACTTCTGGAGGTAAAAATTAGTCCAACCCTTCCAGCTCAAAGCAGGGTTACTCAGGACCACGTCCAGCTGGGTTTTGAGCACAGCCAAGGAGAGAGACTACATGTCTCTCCACCCAACCTGTCCCAACGTCCCACTCCCCTTGCTGTTCAAAAAAAGAGTGCAGCCAGCAGGCAAGGGAAGGGGGTTTCTCGCAGCTGTTTAGCACTGGTGACACAGTTGGGCACTGGGAACAGTTTGGGCTTCCAGGTACAAGATGGACACTGACAGATGAGGGAAAACGTCTCAAGACAGCCAGGGGCTGGAGCACAGAATGTATTGAGGGGAGGCTGAGGGAGCTGGGTTTGTTCAGCATGGGGAAAAGGCACCAGAGGGGGATCTTGCCACTGCCTAGTGCTACCTAAACACAAAATGCAGAGAGGACTGAACCCGGAGCGGTTCGTTTTAACTTCAGCGTTAGATCTTCACGCAGTGATCTGGCTATTTTGAGTACAGGGTTGGACCAGAGATCTCCACTGATTATTGCAACTTAAATTATTCTGTGAGCGTATGCGTGACTCTGCACAAGGTATTAACACTTCAGCCATACCACTCACTGAGCAAAAAGGGAAACGGAGAACATTTCACTGAGAGCATTGGAGCAACTTGTTAAAATTCACCGCAATTTATGTTGACCTGCAGGTTTGGTTTTTTTTTTTTTAAATATAAAATAGTCATAGCAACAGGATACTAAATCCTGCTCTCAGATAGGCACGACTACAGGACTTGCAAGGCCAGTAGGAACTGCCCAGATACATGCACTAACTCTCCAAGCACTCCTAGAAAACAAGATACAGAAGATACACAGAAGGAAATGCTTTTCTCTAGCCTTGCCCATTTTGGTTGCCAGTATACAAGCTTAAAGAAAAATTATAAAATAGAGCAGTCTTTAGGACTACTGTTCGCTTCTCCTTATGAATGTTTACACATCATAATGACAGTAACAAGCTGGAATAGAAGAATATTTTGGGGGATGCAATTGCTGGTGGAAACCTGTCAAACAACAGAGCAGTGGAAAACAAGTGAGACGTCTGTTCTGTCCACCAATTAACAAGAGTCTGTCATGCGGCAGCCACAGCTCTATGGTGGGGAGAGCATTCAGCTAATAACTGAAAACTGAAAGAATAGGGAGGAAAAGTAGCTTCTGCCTCAGAACAGGCAGCTCCTGCTGCCCTCTGCTGACTGAGGACTAAGGTGAGCAGAGCTCAGGAAGCCTGGTTTAGAGATGTCTGGAGACCCACACAGATTTAACAGATGAAGTCCGACGTGGTAACTTGTGTCACCTTCACAAAAACCTGAGGTGCTCAAAGACAGAGACTAACAAGGGAACAGAAAGGACGCTGGGGTCACTGATGCAGTGAGAAAAAAAATTGCTCAAATGTTTTCTCTTCATTTGCCCCAGATTTTACAATTGCTTTCAGCACACCAGCAGCAGATGTTTGTCATGAGCTGCTACCAAAGCTCTCACTTGGTCCTCAACTAAGGATGCACCTGAAACGTTTGCTGGAGACATGTTTAGAGGAAATTCCACTGTGGTCTTTTGCTGATGTTATTCTTTCCTGAATAGCTGGTATTGACCGTGATCAGAGACAACAGACACCGCGGGGCAGAAATCTGCTCTGCCTCAATTACCACACTGCCAGTCTTAATAACGGAAAGGGGAAAAGCTGCAGCAAGATTATCTGCTAGGGCTGACTAAAATGAAACAGAGCTTGGCCACCAAGTAACCACCTCTCCTACTTCACCTTGGCTATGATCTCCTTGGAGGAAATGATGGAATAAATGAAGGCTGTAGTTGGCTGTGCCCGGCACTCAGATATGGGACAGGTGCAGTTGACAACCATGTTCTGCTCAATGCGAGTCGTGAGATACTCCCTCCAACAGGACTGTGAAGGCAGAAGAGGAGAGATCAGAGCTCAACAGGAGCCGCACCACCTGTGTCGGGTGACCCCAGCAGCCCATCCCACCCAGCAGAAGGTTCACCAAACCACCACAAACCACGGGTAAGTACTTAAAAAGGGGGAACAGGCTAATCAAGAACTGAAAGATCACAACGAACGAGGGAGCTGAGAGAACAGAACGTATGAGCTCTGTGGAAATCACCTCGTAACAGCTTCAAAGAACAGCTGCTCCAAGTAGGCAGCGATTCCCTACCAAGTTACAGAAGCCAAACACCCCAGGACCTTCACCTTGCAGCAGTAGTGCATGCAACAGAGGGTCGGTGGCTTCTCAGTGGGACACAGCTGGTTCACACAGACTGGGCAGTGGGTTCCTGGGCTCAGGGCAGGCTGGGCATCCTGCACTTGCAGCCCCGAGGAGATGAGCAGGGTCTCGCGGTTCTCCACATAGCACTGGATCAGGAAATCCACATTCCACCTGCAGTGCATGAGGAGGTGCTGAGCAACATCATCCGGGATGCTCAGAGTATCCTGGATCTGCTGTACTGTCTGGTTCATGAGCAGCTTTGCCTCCTCTGGACTAAGCGTGTGCCCCATGGGCATCTGCAGCATTGCCATGAGAACATCCTCCGACGTGTCGATGCCAGGATCCAACCTGACACGGAAAAACGTGTCACGTCCAGGCAGGGTGGAGAGGCACACCCACGCACACCTGGTGACACGCATCCCTACCAAGACAGGCAGTCCGTGCTCTCCTCATCCGGAGATGCCTCTGACGGCCTGACCTGGAAAACCATCTGTGCCTGGCCCCCAGGAGGCGTTGCGGGTTCGGCCGAAACGTATTCCAAGACGTGAGGCCTCGCCTCCTGGCGCCGGAGGTAGCCCTGGTTCAGCAGGTGCAGGACGCAGGACAGCACGTCCACGCTGTGGCAGCAGAAGCTCAGGAACTGCAGCCTCGGCCCCAGCTCGCCCTTCTGGCAGGCGTCAACCACCTGCAGCAGCAAGGGAGCCCCGCGGGGGCTGCAGTGCAGCACAGCACCCAGGCAGCCCCTCGGCGCCCCTCCAGCCCTCCCTACCTTGAACACCAGGTTGTCGATGTGGAGCTGCTTCTCCGCCTTGAGGATGCGGGTGATGAGGCAGCAGAGGACGTTCCTCTTCCTCTCCAGGCTGCCGACCTCGGCCCTCTCCGCCCGGAGGTACCTCTGCTGGGGCAGCAGCCTCAGGGGGCGGCCGGAGGCCTGGGCCAGGGCTGCCCGGTTCAGCCGCAGCACGCCTGGAGCTGGCACCCAGGCCCGGGTCAGCCGAGCCCCGACGGAGCCCCCCGGGGCCGTGGGCCCGGCCCGGGGCCTCCCGCCGCCGCCCTCCCCGGCCCCGAGCAGCAGCCCCAAGCCCGTGCGCGCCCCCGGCCCCCCGGCCCGCCCCCGCCCGCTCGCCCCCCCCGCCCCGGCCCCCCCGCGGGGCTCCGAGCAGGGCTGCCCCGGCCCCACGCTCACCCCCCGGCGTGCGGCTCCGCGCCAGGACGCCCTCGCTGCGGGTCAGCGGCGTCAGCGCCTGGTGCACCAGGGCGGCCGGGAGCCCCGTCGCCTGCAGCAGGGCCTCCACAGCCACCTCCTGCGGGAAGGGTGGGAGGGGAGCGCCCAGCCCCCAGCGCCCCCGGGGACCCCCCGCCGCAGCCCCGGCCCCTACCTCGGCGTCGTTGAAGCGCAGCAGGATGTACATCTGCAGCGTGGAGACGTGGAGGACGCAGTCCCCGAAGCGCAGCTCGGCACGGCCCAGCCACGTCCACTGCAACCGCCGGGGCTTCGCGCCCGCCCGGCCCGGCCGGAGCTGGCCTGCCAGGGACGGCGTCAGCACGGGGGCCGGGGGCCGGGCCCCCCCCGGGCGCTCTGCTCCCGGCACGGCCCGGCACGGCCCGGCTGCCGCGGGGGCCCCGGCGAGACCCGCGCGCCCGCCGCCACGGCCACTCACGCCGCCTGCAGAAGTCGGCAAACGCGGCCAGGGGGGAGCTCAGCGCCGCCGAGAAAAACCTCCCGGGCTCGGCCATGGAGCAGGACGGGGGGACGGGCCAGCAGCGCGGGGACAGGGCCAGCACCTTCACCTCCGGCGCAACCTCCGGCGCAGCCGCCGCCGAGGCCGGCCCCGGCGCCTGGGCGCGAGGGCGGCTCAGCACAGGCCCCGGCAGCCCCGCGAGGAGGGCGGGCGGCCCCCAGCCTGCCCCCCCATCCCGGCACAACGCTCACCTCGCCCGGGCCCGCCTCCAGCTCCAGCAGCCGCCTGTCCCGCTCCTGCAGCTGGAAGAGGCCAAACTGCTGCCGCAGCTCCTCCGACTCGGCCAAGTCGCTCAGCATCTCCTGGGGGAAGCGGCTGGGGAAGCACAGCCCGAGCTGCTCCGCGACGGCTCCTTCCAGCCAGGACGGGCCTTGCGCCAGCAGCCGGTCCCCCAGGTAGTGCCTGTCGCAGCCGCCAGCGTCAGCTCCGGGGCCGGCCCCAGCCCAGCGGCCACCGGCCACCCGCCCGGAGGCCGCGCCGGCCCCGGCCCCAGGCCCGGGACGCGGCTCCGGCGACCGGCAGCGCCCTCGCGGCCCTTCCCTCCACCCGCCGCCCCCAGCCCGGGCTCAGCCCCGGCCCCCGCCGCGCCTGGCCCTCACCGGTAGAAGTGCTCGAAGGGGTGGGCGAGCTCCAGGCCGCCGAGGACGGCGAAGGGCTCCAGCAGCTGCTGCAGCCGCTGCGGGGGCTCCCGTGCTGCCCGCGGCCCCGCGCAGCTCCCGGATCCGCCCGTCGAGGTAGCGGGCGAACCGCTCGCTCACCTGCAAGGGGACGGGGCTGGCTGGGCGGCCGCGGGGCCGGGCTGCTGCGCCGCCGCCGCCGTCCCCGGAGGGAGCAGCGGGGGAGCCCGGGGGCTCTCCTCGCGGGCAGGGGCCGCGCTGCCAGAGGCACCCGCAGCCGGGCCCCGGCCAAAGCCCCGGCGCCGCGCTCCCGGCACTCACGTGCAGGGCGGTGAGGAAGGGGAGCTGCAGCAGAGCCCCCGCGAAGCCCCGGCCCAGGGCCAGCACGGAGGCGGCCTGCCGCCCGAAGAGCTCCTCCGTGGCGGCGCGCAGCCACCGGTACAGCCCGCAGTAGCGCTCCACGAGGTCCGGCGCCTGCCCTGCCGCCTCCAGGAACCGCTGCACCTGCGGGACGCGGCGCCAGGGGGGTGAGCCCCGCAGCGGGACCGGCCCCGCAGCGACGGCCGCGGCCCCCCCGCCACCACCCCCTGCCCGGGGGCTGACCGGAGCCCCCCCCCCCCCCCCCCGGTGCTGCCGCGGGCGGGCGCGGAGGCCGGAGCGCAGCCCCGAGGGCCGGGCAGGGCCGCGCAGGCAGGACCCAAGCGCAGCGGCTGCCCGCCCGCCCGCACAGCAAGTGCCGGGCGCCGGACCCGTCTCCCCGCCCGGAGCCCCAGCTGCCGCCCGAGCCCGGCCGGGCCGTCCCCGCACCCCGCCGGGCCCCTCGGAGGCTGGGCGCAGCCCCTCGCCCCCCGCTCCCCCCCCCCACCCGCTGCGGGGTCCCACGCCCCCTCCCCGCTCTACCTGCCGCTGCACCACGTCCCGCCAGCACCGCCAGATGCTCCGCAGGCCGCTCGACTTCGCCGCCGCCTCCGCAGCCCTGGCCGGCACCTCCTCGTCCCTCCCGTCCTTCCCGCCTGCCACGGGACAGCCTCGGGCTCAGCGCGGCCCCACGCTCCGGCCGGCGGCAGCCTCCCGCTCTCCCGGGGGGGCGCAGGGCAGAGGGGGTGCCGGGGGAGGGGGGCACGGCCGCCGCGGGCCCCTTCCCCGGCTCGGGAGCCCCCTGTGCCACAGGGCTGTCCCCAGCAGGACCCCGCGGCCACCCCCCGCGGCCGGGCGGGAGGGCAGCGCCGCCCCGCGCTCACCGGCTGCTCGCGCCTCCTCCGGCTCCGCGCCGCGGGGGTCCACGTGCACCAGGAGCTGCGTCAGGCGCCGCACGCGGGAGCCGAAGACGGCGCCACGGCTCGCGGCGTGACCGGACAGCTCCGCGCTCTCCAGGTACTCGCTCAGCAGCCAGGCCAGGGGACTGACGCCCTGGGGGTCTGCGAGGCCACGCGCGCTCAGAGCCGGGCGCCTCGGCCCGGGGCACGGCCCCGACGGGCCCCGCGGGGCGCAGGGTACCTGGGCTGGTGATGCTCTGCACCAGGGGGGTCACCAGCGCCTCCCAGAACGTCCTGCCCAAGGCCCAGGCCGCCTCGTCGTCGGGGAGGAAGCGGTCGGCGAAGGCCTGCTCGTGCCGCAGCGCCCGGTTCAGCCTGCAAGGGCGACGGGGCAGCGCGCCAGGCACGGCCACGGCCCCAGCACCCAGGGCCCCCGCTCGCCGCCCCCGGGCCAGCCGGGAAGCAACTCACTTGCCGAAGAGCTGCAGCAGTCGCCCCCGGTCACGGCAGATCTCCTGGCACCAGGCGTGAGCCCGGGCGGTGCAGGAGAGGAACGTCCGCCGGCACAGCTGCTCCTTGAAGACGGGCCACAGAGTGGGCTTGGGGCCCAGCACCTCGATGCCGCGCACGCGGGTGTCGATGCCGCCCTACGGCAGAGCGGGACCCTCAGCTCCGCAGCCACGGCCCCGACGCCCCACGCCGCCGGCTCCCCGGCGCCCCGACCTGCTGGCACCGCTTCACCCGGATCTGGAGGACGGGCCAGAAGCGGGTCATGTTCTCCAGCAGGACCACTCTGCTGTCCGAGGGCAGGACGGTCACCTGCGGGCAGGCAGCGGACCCTCAGCGTGCCAGGCAGCGAGCGCCGGCCGCCCCGCGCGCTCCCCCGGCCGCCCCCCGCCGAAGCCCTCGCCCCCCGGGCTCCCCTGCGCCCCCCGCCAGGGCCCCGCCGCAGCCCCAGCGCTCCGGCCCGCTCGCAGCCCGGGCTGCGGGGCCGCCCGCGCCCACGTCCCCCCCGCCCCGGCTGCCTCCTCCCGCCCCCCCCGGGGCCCCGCACCGCACTCACCGCGTTGAGCTCGGTTCGGACGGCGGCCGGGCTGTCTCCCCCCAGCACCACAACGCGGGCCGGCATGTAGCTGGAGTCCTCGCTGGCCACCAGCATGCTCATCTCCCTGCAGCGCAGCACAGGCAGCGCTGCCCGGCAGTCCCCACCGCCCCGCCCCGGCCCCCGCCGGCCCCACGCGCTGCTGCCCGGCCGGGGGCCGCCGGGGCAGGGCGCGCGCAGCGCCCCACGGCCCCCTCCTCCCCGCGCGGGCGCTGGCCCCCGAGGCCCCCCAGCCCTGCCCCACCTGACCACCACGCCACGCTGCATGTGGACGGTGATGAAGTGGGAGCCGCTGCTGCCGTTCGACTCCCAGTAGGTCTTGGGGTTCCTGTCCGTCAGCTTGCCGGCCCGGTGGGGGTTGGAGGAGACCTGCACCTTCTCCCAACACTTGTCCTCCTTCACCTCCACGCCGGAGCCTGTGGGGAGAGCACCCGGAGCCTCCGGCCGCCGGGCCGGGCCAGCCCCTGCCCGGCGCGGGGGGCCGGCTCCCGCTCCCCGCGCTCACCTCGGCACAGGTTGCGCAGAAAGACGTCGAACAAGGGGATGCTGATGGGCCGCTGGCTCCGGCGGTGCTCCTCGATCTGCCCCAGGACCAGCTACGGGACGGGGCCGGGCTCGCACCGCGGGGCCGCCCCCGGCGCCAACAGCCCGGCGGCCCCCAGCCCCGGCACCTTCGGGGCCTCCCCCCCCCCGGCCCCCCACCTGCATGCAGCCAGCCAGGACGCTGCTCGTCAGCTTCTGGTAGAGGCCGGCGTGCTCCTCGCAGTCCGTCACCAGGGCGAGCAGGGCTGGCGCCAGCGGCGGAGCCGTGCCCTGCTTGGCCAGGGCCTTGGCCAGCGTCTCGCGGGCGCCCAGGCGGCACATCGCCACCGCGCAGTCCTTGCTGCTGCTGGCCAGGCGGTGCAGGAAGCCGACGACCTCCCGCACCACCTGCCCCGCAGGCAGCCGTCAGCGGCCGGGCCGGCGCGGGGAAACCCCCCCCCGGACCCCCCCCCCGCGCCACGGCGCCCGCGGGCGGCAGCGCCCCGGCCCCGCCCGCCGCGCGTCCCGGGGCCCCCCCGCACCTCCCGGTCGCTGCTGTGGGCGCTCAGCGAGGCCAAACAGGGCTCCACACACTCGTGCCAGGGCAGCGCGTCCCCCCGGGAAGCGGCCAGGAACCCGCTCAGGATCCTGCGGGGCAGAGGGGGCCCCGCTCACGCCCGGCCCCCGCGGGGCCTGCGAGCCGCGGCGCCCGCCCGGCCCCCGCGGCAGGAGCGCGGCCCCCCGACCCACCGGAGGACGCTCAGGCTCGCCGGCTTCTCCGCCCCCAGCAGCTCCAAGCTGCGCAGCACCAGCCCGAAGCACCCGCGGTCCTGCAGCAGCCGGGCCGCCTCGCCCGAGGGGCCGGCGCCTCCGCCGCAGAGCTGCCGCTCCAGCGCCGCCACCGCCTCCCCGGCCAACTCGCCGTCCCCGGGGCCGCCCAGGAGCGCCCGCACGTCCCCGGGGGCCCGCGGGGCCTCTCCGCCTGCCGCGACAACGACGGGCGGCTCCAGCCCGCGCCCCGCGCCCCGGCCGCCGCCCTCCCCGCCAGCCCGGCCCTGCTGCCCCGGGGCGGAGGAGCCGCGCCGCTGCACGCCGGCCCGCGCGGCCCGCACGCCGCCCGCCAGTCGCGCTTGGCCGTGAGCGCGGCCAGCAGCCGCAGCGCCGCCGCCGCCGCCGCCTTCTCCGCCGCCCCGGCGCTCGGCAGCTCCGCCGCCGCCTTCGCCAGCGTCTCCCTGCGGGGGGGGCAGGGCACGGCCTCGGCAGGAGCCTCCCGGCCCCGCTGCCGGCCCGCCGGCCCGGCCTCCTCCCCGCCCGCCCGGCTCTCCGGCGGCCGGCTCGGCCCCGGGGGGGCTGCCCGCCCCTCTCCCGGACAGCCCGGCCCCCCCCCGGCCCGCAGCAGGGCCGTGCGGCACCCCGCGGCTCCCCCGCGGCTCCCGCCGCCCGGCCCGCCCCGGGCTCCGCCGCCTCGCCGCTCCGCCTCGGGCTCCTCCTCCAGGCTCTCCGCCAGGTGCCGCAGCCCGGCCGAGCGCAGCCCCACCGCGGAGCCGCTGCTCTGCCCCGCGGCCACCGCGGCCGCAAGCTCGGCCGGCGAGCCCCTCTCGCCCAGCCCCTCGGAGCTGCCCAGCGCTGGGGGGAGGGAGGGAGGCAGGCAGGGAGGCAGGGAGGGAGGGAGGGAGGGAGGCGGGGAGGGAGGGAGGGAGGGGAGCAGGGACACGGGCAGCGGGGCGGCGGGGGCCCCCCGGCAGCTCCCGGGCCGCCGGGCGCCCCCCCCGCCGCCCCCCGGGGGCCCGGCGCCCCGCGCCCTGCCCAGAGCCCCCCTCCAGCGCCGTGCCCGTGCCCCAGCCCCCCCGTTACCTCGGAGCTGCTCCTCGGGCACCTCGGGGAGGGCCAGCCCTTCCCTCTCCAGGAGCTCGCCGAACAGCTGCGCGTCCGCCTTGGCCGCCGCGGCGGGGGCTGCAGCGGGGGCTTCCTCCGCTGCCTCGGCCGCCCGGGCTCCGGGGCCAGCGCTCCTGCAGCCGGCACCCTTCGGGGACGCCGCGGTGCTCCCCCCGCCATCCTGCCCGGCCCCCCTACCGAGGGCGTACTTGGTGTAGGTGTGGGAGACGCGCAGGTCGCGCCGAGAGCCGCCCTGGCACCGCTCCTCCAAGACCTGCAGCACCTTCGGGGCCAGCGCCGCGGGTACCGACAGCCGGATCAGGGCTTCTTCGTCTCCCTCCGACAGCTGCACGGGCGGGCTCGGCTCAAGCCCCGCGACGCCCACGCACCCCCCCACACCCCCCCGGGACGGCCGGTGCCCCCACGGAGGACAGGCAGGCTGCGCCCCCGGGGCCGCTCTCCCCTGGCTGTCCCCGGCCCACACCCCCCACCCGCCCTCCCCGCCCGCAGCATCGCCCCACGGGGCTCGCCTCGCCCACCCGAACCTCGCCGAGCACGGCCGCTCTCCCCGGGGCGCGGGACACCGTCTCCTCCCGCCTCGCCTCACCCCTTTGCTGCGCCCGGCTCCCCGCGCCTTTGCCAGCCCTCGCTCCCGCTCCCGCTCCCGTTCCAGCCCCTTCTCTGCTCCGCTCAGGCTGGCCCCGCACAGCTCACGCCTGCCAGCCTCTCCCCCGGGCCCCGGCCCCTTCCCAACCCTCGCTCCCTCCCTCCCACTGCCGCCCCGCGGGCTCTGGCCCGTACCTGCTCTCCCCGGGCCTGCTGGATGAGAGAGAAGAGCTCTTTCTGCTCCTGGGCTTCCAGCTTCTTCACGAAGAAGAGCAGCTCCCACCACTCGGCACGGCTCAGGGCCTCTGCGGCCTCGGGCGGCTGCTCCCCCAGGTAAGGCAGAGAGTACAGCCCCCCCAAGGGCTGGCGGAGAAACGGCTGCGCAACTGCAGGAGAGCAGAGCGAGGAGGGGGCACTGTCAGCTCTGCCAGCGCCCCCAGCCTCTGCCGCACACCCCGCACGCTCCCAGGAAAGGGCTCGCGGGGACTCTCTGGGCAGGGGGGGGCCCCACCGTCCCCCAGCCTGCCCTGGGAAAGGGGGGAGACGGGAAGGCGGCCAGAGACGGGGACCGTGCTGGGAGGAGAGCCCAGAAGCTGGCGAGACGGGGATTACCGCCTTCGCCTGAACCTCTCTGGGCCGCAGAACAGAAAAAGCACGGGCTCAAAACGGGCGGCTCGAGCTCAACCGCTGCCCAGCCCTGTCCCCACGGCGCCTGGACCAGCCAGGGCAACAACGCACTGGGCCACCCAGCACCAGCAGAACCCACGGTGCCACCGCGTAGCTGGAGCAGGGGAAACAGAGCCGGCCCAAGATGCTAGAGGTGTCAATGGATAGGAGGTTAATTCTGCCATGATCTCCTCTCTTTTCCAAATGCCTCCTGCTGGGTAACAGGGCAAATGCTTATAGGCAAAAGCAAAACGAGATGGCACAGTTACCACACTCCTTTTAGCTAATGCATCCAAAATTAAGAGAGGGCGGTAAAATCTGGTATGTAGGTCAGATATTCCGCAGGTAATTTAGGAATAAGAGCCTGAATCAACACTTGCTTCTATCTGCTAAGCAACAACTTGCAGCTCTCTCTGCAAATGCAAGGTGGGAGACGTTCACCACGTCAAGACTCAACAGAAAAGGGCTGAAACCCACTGCAAGAGGCTCAAGCATGCCAAGAGCAAGTGCATCCACAGCTGATCACCAACAGCCAGTCAACATGAGCTCATTTATCCAACTGTCATGATCCAAAGCAGAATGTGTTTACTTTTTCAATTCCATTTTCAAGTGCGATATGATGACTGGAAAGAGTTCTACACAGAAGTGAAATAGAGCCCATGCTTCCTACCAAAATCAGAGAGACCAAGACAAAAGGCAAAGCCTAAGCAATTTTACCTTGGCCACTTCAAACTGATGTGCAGTTAAGTCTTTAATTAAAAAAAGGTAGAAGCCATCTTTTCAACTGGCAGTAAGAATATTTTTTGGAGTGGATAATCAGCTGCTGATTTCATGTATATTCTGTCTCTTCCAGCAGTGAAATCCAAAATTACTCTACCCAAAAGATGCCCTACAAGATTGTGGGCATAATAAAAGAGTTACTTTAACAGGTTGCCCTGGCCAGAGTCATGTCAGATGATGAACATGGTATCTGAAGGCTGGATTTTCCCTTTTATCTTCTCCCAGTACAAGGCCAGTGGCAAAGGGTTCTAGGAGATTCTGCAGATGTCTGACGGTAACAGTGCATTTAATGCTCACCTGGCCCAGAACTGAGTGGCATGAAGTTAAACAAATTTTTGGCATGGTAATATTTTTAAAATGCCACATCACTTATTAAAGGGAATCTGAGGGTCCCTAAAGCAGTTTCATCTCAGAGAGATTCGACATTCTTATTTTGGCAGTTTGTTCAGTTAATTCAAACACACAGTTAACCCAAATTTTAACCCAAATTTTCTGCTTTTTATATCATGGCTTTTATCGTATCATGACAGAAGTCTAGGATTCAAAAATACTCCATGCAACCACAAGCCATGTAGTTACTTAACCAGCTCTGCATGATCACACAAACCAAAAGCTCATAGTGCTTTCGAAATCCAACCTGCTAGTTCCTATATGCTTAGCTATATAAAGTTCACCCCTCAAAACTATGCCACAGCAGAATCAGAAAGAGAGGATACAGCCACACACATGCAGCACACAGTCTCACCTGTATCTATATTAAAGCTCTCTATCAGACTATGTTCTTTTTTCTGAGCAGCAGGATCTTCCCACTGGTCTGCAAAGCCAATAATCTCCAACATGTGCCACCGCATCCAGTAGGTCTGACCCGTTGATTCCCATAAAACCTGTGGGTGAAACAGATGATCAGATTTGCTCACTCATTCAACCCTCGTGCTACATTTGTCCTCCCCTTTCCCAAATGCATGGAGATAGCAAGCACTCTTCAAGTAGGAGACCACCTAATTCACATACAGATTTCAACACGCACATTGTCTAATTTTTAAGCACACCATCTTTATTAACTTGTTCCCTAGTTACACCTGGATCTTTATTAAAAAAAAAAAAAAAAACCAACACCAACTTTACCTGCAACAACTACAGATATCATCTACCATTGCAACAGTGACAGGAGTGCATCTAGTTCAATATTCCTGTTCCAAAAGTGCCCAGCAGCAGGTGCCTTGGGAAAAGCACACAAAGGAAGAACATAACCAACACCACCTCGTGGCAGATGAGCTCTATATAAAGGGTCTTGAGGCACAAACCACTTGGTGAATGCAAATGTAAAAAAACCCTATTTTTCCTACTTTGATTTTGCCTTCTATTGGTTATACTCTTACAGCTTGGTCATTCACCAACCCTCTCCGACAGGTGCTGGGCTCTTGACAAATATGTCTCAAAGAAGGCAACTGCTTCCTGTGCTTCGTCCATATTGCCTCTCAAAATCAAAAGGATTTTTTTTGTAGGTTTACATTCAACCTTCTGAGGTTTTTTTGTAGGTTTACATTCAACCTTCTGAGCAGAAGGAGGACCCAGCAACAGCAAGTACGTGTCAATAATTTAAACAAACAGCAGAAAAAATTACGGGTTGCCCGATTCACTGAGCTCTTTTGGAGTTACACCAGTGCTACTAGGACACCATTGTGCTGGAGAGCTAAAGAGGTAAGATGCTGAGAGACTTTAAGAAAGCATTATATGGAAGGAAATTGAGTTAAACTCTATATACAACACCAATTAGTCTTCAACGAATCCCTGCCCTAAACTACTTATGTACCAAATATCATCTCAAAGGAGTCATGGAAAGATGACTGAAGGAACAGACACAACAGTGAAACTTTTCTTTGGAGAGGCAAAGAAAGCAACAGAAAACAGAGTAACAAAGATGAGAGGAGGTAGGTGACAGACCCATGATGGACTGGCCCCAAACAAAAATGCACAGGAATTTGCATTTTTACACACAGAAAACTGACAGCAAGCCTCAGGCAGGATGAGCTGAAAAAGCAGAACTAATCAAAAAGAAAAGGATCAAAATTTTAACAAAGACCAGGGAGAAGCAGTTTTTGTAACCTGAACTCACTGGTCACCAGCAGATAAACCGTCAATACAGAACAAGTGTGATACACAAGATAAGAAAGAGTAACAAAGATAAAAAACAAGTTTCCTTTCAAAGAGATGGCAAAGGCCCAGAAAAGCAGCGATGATCAAGAGATGCCATTACAAAGATGATTTTGAGATGTCAGTCATTGAATGGTTTTGATACCTGCAAACTAAGATTATTAGCAAATATATATTCGCGGAATAGAATCATTAAAATCCATTTAAGATGTTTTAACCATTTAACAATTGTGCTGCAGAACAAATATTGATCTTCTGAGGAACAGCTTGGAATAACTGTAGGATAAGGCACTCATAAATAATCTTACTGGAGACAGGTTTGGCCTTGTAGTGGCAGGTGCAAAGAAACATAAAGAAACTGCAAATTAGCAACAAAATCAGAGCAGGCCAGCCTTGAAGGTCAAGATGTACGTGACCCCAGGGCTGAGTTTGAGCAGCAGGAAAGGTCAGCTGGCCGACACAGTGAAGAAGACTATGAGCCTTCATCTGCAGATCCCCAACGACTCCAACAGGCATGTGCAAGAGACATTAACATATGCTAAATGAGTTCCCGGAAAAGTTATGAACATGATAAAAATGCAATGAATTTGTATGATTAAGGTAGTATAAGTGCTTGTTGATTTTGTTCTCACACACACACATGAGGAGGAGCTCTCCCCTGTGTGTCCTGGCTGCTGTAATAAAGGAATGCCTGCTTTCTGAAACTCCAAAATTGAGTCTTGGAGAGTGAATGAATTACCACTTTCCGGTAACAGTTTGGCTCACAAGTTTCTCAGATAACTCTGGGGGACCGCTACAGACACATACACAGATATGAACATAAAGAGCAGGGTAAAAATTAACACCCTCAAAGACTGCATGTCCATTCCCAACTTCCTAGACAGACTGGAGGACAAGGAACATTAATGGGGGAAGAACTTAGGTACTTCCAAATATAACAGACAACAAACTTATTCACTGACTATTTGTTACCATTTAGATCTGGTTTTGCCAGTAGTGTGAGCCTTACAGAAGACTGTTACTGAAAATAAGCCTGGATGGAGCAATTGCAAGTTCATTCAATCTAATTAAATAGAAAAATAGATAGGAGAAGGAACCCAAGGGACCGACTGGACAAAGGGAATGGAAGTTAACAGTACACTTCAGCTCAGCAGTGAATAAAAAAAAAAAAAAAAGCTAAAACTTGTTATCACAGGTAACAGGAGAAAAATGTGAAAGGATCTTAGTGTTCTTTCCAAGTGCCCAGTTACATTAAGAGTAAGAGCAAGTACAAGCTTATAAGAAATAGAGAACAGAATTTTAGAAAAACACAGATCTCGGAAATCAAGGAGCGTAAGGACAAAGAGAGAATAGGTAGGAAACATATTCCCTTTGCAATTTACCTTTACAGAGTGGGTTATAAAAGACAAAAGGTTTATCAACCACTTAAAAATAAGATGCAAAACAGTTATTCAATTGAAGGGGGCCTGTAACAAAAAAATCACCTATGCATGGTCCAAAACTAGAAGAGTATTTTACTTGAATATTGAGTATACAAAAAAGAAAGCAAAGCAAACTGGTAAGAAGTAGAGGGATCCAAATCCAGAAGTTGCCACAACTGAGAGCGAAGCAAAATTCAGTTTAGAGGACAGAGATGAAACACATACCAAGTAATCTCCCAAAAGCACAGCTGGAAAGTGGGAAGGATTTAGGTTATTCAGTGGTGTGTCTATGTGTCTGACAAACACTAAAGCCAGTGCTTCTAATCTGAGGAAAATAAAATGATTAAATAAATCATCACTACAGCTTCACTACTTTGACTTCAGTAGTATGCAAACCTGTAAAGCATATTTTAGTGGAAAGAACAACTAAAATTGTTCAAGATAAGCAATACATTTGAATTAACAGCTAAGCCTGCTTCAAGTTTCAGTTCTGACAGATTGTTGAATCAGCGTCATTTGCTGAAGTAACCGACTTTCTAGATTAAAAAAAAAAAAAAAAAGATTGATTTCAATTGTCAACTTCAGTAAAGCACAGGGCATCAAAAAGTAAATTATTGAACCAGAGAAGAAAGCAATTAAGGAGAGGAACAGTGGACAAGAAATCTGCTCAACAGCACCCAAGAACTCAGAAGTATGAAGGGGAAAGAATGGAGCTAGAAGAAAGTGCAAATAAGATGAGCAGGCCGTATCTGCACAGCACATGCTGCCCTAACAGTTATGCTCTCCCAATACAAGCACACAGTGGTAATATCCACCGCCAAACAAGCAGATAAGGCTGGAAGCATCTTCCTTGCACGTGCACGTTTTGAAGCATTTTAAGCTGCTGGTTTAAATTACACCTGCAAAAAGTGCTTCAAAACTTGAAGGCAGTTAAGGAGCCCGGACCAGAGTAAGTTAAAAGGCAAGTGGAAAAATTAACCCTAAAACCAGTTCTCACTGAATAAACAGAAGACCATCAGAAGGAAGAAGCAGTCTGGAACTGGAAGAGGAAAAAACCCAAAAGAATATTCACACGATTTCCCTGTGCACGAGAAAGGAAATAGAGAACAGGAGAGAATAAGTAAGTCGGTAGTCAGTGTTCTTAACTGGCTAATTTTCATTTTGCTGTAAATTAAAACAACGGCATTACACAAAATAAAATGGGCTGTAGTCAGAGAAGGCTAGAGAATCTTGTGCTTAACAAAAGCTGAAAGTAGATTTAAAGGAGATGGTCTGCAAACATGCAGAAGGTAATGTCAAATTCTCGACCTCCTCTCTGGCAAGTTTGGTAATGAACATTATGTTACAGCATGAGAGATTTGGAAAGAGCATCAGGAAGTTGTGCATTTCTATAGATACCAGAGTGAGGCTTTTCAGCTATTCACTTTTGAATATCAGCAACATAGAGCTTTGCCCTAACATGGCACGTAGGTCTGTTCGCAGGCCATCTATATCGGCACAAATCAGCTTGAAGTAGTGTTGTGGTTTAATCCGGCAGGCAGCTAAACACCACACAGCTGTTTGCTCACTCCCCACTCCCCCGCAGTGGGATGCGGGAGAGAATCAGAAAAAAACAAAAGTAAAAGCCTTCGAGCACAGGCTGAAGTGGCACCTGAAGTACAGCTATGACCAACTGAAGTGGCCTCAGACTGCTTATTGATCATCTGAAAAACCAAAGTATGCACTTTTGCAAATTATTTAGAGGAAATAAAACAAAGCAAAACAAAACAAAAAAAAACCAAATCCATTATTGCACACACTAGCACATACACAGTGGTTACAAATTCTCATTTTCCTGGTTACTATCTCAATTTAATAAAGATTTCATGCCCTGTTTGCCACCAACACAATGCTGGGCTGAGCAGCGGACACGAGCAGAGACAGCCCTCTGTCTACAGATGACAGACAGATAAAGCTTGATTTTTAGGAGAGCAGAAACTGTGCCTCTAGCTGCAGAGTTTGGACAGCTCAAAAGCATGGCCCAAGTGCAAGATCAACAGACAGCCTGCAGAAATAACCATACATAGACTAGAGTGATGCACAAAGCCCACCAAGCTCCCCCACCGCATAGCCAAAATAAAATCTCAGCTCTCAGTGAACATGCCTAGCCTTCAGGACTGAGAAGAAAGTTTCAAGAAAAAGGTCTAAGCAGGAGCAAACACCTCCCCCCGTGCCCACAGAAAGGCTGGAACAGCACTCAAATGCTCTCCCACCCCTAGGCCTGAGTCCAAACCCTGCTGCTCCAGCACTGGCCCATACACCAGCAAGATGTTCTGGGAGTGGCAAGAGCTGAATGCCTTAGGCCAAGAATCAGAGATCAAGCCACGGAAGGGAACCTTGTGGTGGGTGTTTACTACAGGGTGCACCATCAAGGGGAGCCTATTGACAAAGCCTTCTTACTCCAGCTCCAGGAGGAATTGCACTCACAGTCTCTTACCATGCTGAAGGACTTCAACCACTCGGGCATCTGCTGGAGAAGCAGCACAGCAAGCTGCAGGCAATCCAGGAGATTCCTGGAGTGCATTGAGGATAACTTCTTAGGCCAGGTAACAGACAGCCCTACCAGAGGACATGTGTAACTGGACAAGTGAGCTAACCATAGACACTAAGATTGAAGACTGCCTGGGCTGCTGTGATCACACACTGCTGAAGTTCACAGTCCTGAGGGATATGGGACAGTCAAAGAGTAAATTCAGGACCCTAACTTTTAGGAAAGCAAACTTCCAGCTGTTCAAATAGTCAGTGGGACTCCTTGGGAAACTGCGCTCAGGAACAAGGCAGATCTTTAAGGATGCTTTCCATAGGGCGAAAGAGTTCTTGATCCCCCTGTGTAAGAAATCGGGAAAAGGAAGGCAAGAGACCGGCATGGATGAGTCGTGACCAGCTGGTCAAACAAAAGTGAAAAAAGGAAATGTAATGCACATGCAGTGGAAGCAGAGACAGGTATCCTAGGAAGAGTACAGGGATGGGATCAGGAAGGCAAGGTGCAGCAGGAGCTGAAGTCGGCAAGGGACACAAAGATTATAAGGGCTTCTGTAGGTACGTCAGCCTAGAAAACGAAGGTCAAAGCAAGTGTACCCCACCTGATGAACAAGACTGGCAAACTGGTAACAGAAGAGGAGAAGGCTGAGATACTCAACAACTTTTTTGCCTCAGTCTTCACTGGCAATCTCTTTCCCCATACCCCTCAAGCGGATGGACCTCAAGGTAGGTGTTAAGGAAATATTAGTTGTTTGGCTTAAATAAGTAAGTTTCAAATAGAATGTATCATTTAGCCATGTGATGGTGTGTGATTTAGTATGCTGTTCACTCATTTTGCCTAAATAGCTGGATTTGTTGAAGCCTTAGGCCACAAGCTGTAAGCTTTCACCTAGATTTACTGAACTTGTACCTACTCAAGCAAAACAGGCCTCCAAATCCAGAACAAAACAGAAGATAAGAAGGGTACCAGCGTCAACAGCAGCTGCAACTGGACAAGATAATGGTCCATCTGGAGAGAGTGAAGAAATGCAGTAAGGAGCCAGAAGGATTTGGAAGATCTCAGGCTAGAATTATCATTGGACCAAAGGGTGTGTGAAAGGTGCGTGGAGATCACATGAAGGGGGGGATGCACAGTCTATATGGGATTTCTTTGTTTGGGGTCCCTCTCCAGAGGCACCCAGCTTGAGCTGACCCTGCTGCTGTATCACTCTATTAAATTACTTATTTTTATGAGATTCAATGCCTGAGACTCTGCTTCAGGAAACCTAGGGTTCAAACTGCAGAGCAACTACGATCCGATGCCTGGACCAAAGTGTGCTCTGTAAGAGAAGCTCAGGCTCGAGACCACCTGAGGAACCTGAACATACGTAAGTCTCCAGGACCTGACGAGATGCATCAGAGTCCCGAGGGAACTGGCTGATATTGTTGCCAAACCACTCTTCGTATTTGGAAAGCACATGGCAGTCAGGTGAAGTCCCCAGTGCCTGGACAAAGGGAAACACTGCAACCAGTTTTTTAAAAGGGGTAGAAAGGTGGACCCTGGGAACTATCAGCCTGTCAGCCTCACTTCTGCGCCTGGCAAGATCGTGGAACAGATCCTCTAAGAAGCTATGTTGAAGTGGATGGAGGACAGGGAGGTGATTCAAAACAGCCAGCACTGGCTTCACCAAGGGCAAGTCTTGCCTGACCAACCTAGTGGCCTTCTATGATGGAGTGACTACATCAATGGACAAGGGAAGAGCTACTGATGTCACCTATCTGGTGACCTTTCAAGGTCCCTTCCAACCCAAATTATTCTGATTCCTCCCCTTCTTCAAATATTGAGGCCTTTTCCCCGATCTCTGGTGCAAACTTAGCAACTCAAATGCAAATATGCAGCTCTAACCAGTCTTTCCAACACAAACTCTCAGTTAAGGCCTATTCACCTAACGGGCATTTTTAAAGGGAAACAGATCCTGGCATATACTCACAGAACCTGGCATATACTCACAGATCAAAAGAAACAGCTATGTAGGCTGTGTCCAATGCAGTGAGAACAACTATATACCACAAGTACAGTCACCCACATACCAAGGCTTAAGACCTTTCGAGCACCTTCTGCTGTGTTACTCATTTGTGCCAGCTAGCCTGCTCCCAAACCACCCCCAAGATCAAACCAGGGCTAAGGACCGTTCCTGGGAGGCAGGATATAATCAACTGTTTTATAGGCTGAGAAATCCAAGCAGGACAGCCCGTACTAAATCAGACTAGCCTCCCTCAGGACCCACGCACTTCCAGCTCTGAAAGGTGACTTCTTTGCTAGGACAGATGTAGACAGTAATTATGATACGCCTATTGTTCAACTCCTCGCACATGAAGACATCATGAAAAAAATCATCAGTCACCCCTGTCGCTCCCCTCTGCCCTCCCAGCCAGACTAATTCCACTACCGACCCACCTGCACCGTGCGCATGCTAGTAGTGCTCTGGAGAAACTCGCCTTCCTCCCCAGCTTTCACATCACCACAGTCCTCCAGCAAGCGCACCCGCATGCCGCGCACCAGGTTTGCCTGTAAGTACTCCACGTAGCCACTGCGGTCCGCAAAGTCTGACGGGGTCAGAAAGGCACGACCCCGTTTTTTGCGCTGACCGTAATTCGAAGTGAGCACAGGCATCTGGGCAGCAGCGTAGGCTGGGGACTTGGGCTGGAAGATGGAGTGGGTGGCGCGAGGCCGCCGGTCGTGGTGCGGCTGCAGCTCTGGCTTGGGGCTGCGGTCCCAGCCCATCACGTGCACCAGCTCCAGGATGAGGTTTGCCACGGCCATGCTGAACTCGAACTCCTGCTTCACGTGGCTCCTCTCCTCCTGTCAGCAGGCCGGGCTCGGCGCAGTCCTCCCGCTCCACGCCGCCGCTGAGCTTGTCCAGGAGAGAAGTGACGCACAGGTAGCGCTTCACCAGGACGAAGAGCAGCTTCCCGGGGATCTGCGACAAGCACGGCTCTCACACCCCAGCCTGCAGCGTGCCGCCTCCAGCCACAGCCCCCTCCAAGCCGCCGGCCCCTCCAGGCGGGCTCCCGTGGCAGCTCCGCACCAGCACGAAGCAGCAGAGACCTCTCAGCCCGCCTCCACCTCCCCGATTGCAGGCAAGGCTCCCCACGTGCCTCTCCACCACCCCCCAGCCCCAAACCAGGCCCAGATCCTGTGCCAGCTCCCCTGGTACCCTGCTCAGCTGCCCACGGCCGACCACCCTCCTGTTCCAAACGAGGACCCCAGTTCTAGCCCCCCGCTCTCGCCCCTCCCTGACCCCCAAAGCCCACAGGCCCAGGGCTGGGCCGCTACCTGGGGCAGGTGAATCCCCTCAAAGGACATGCAGTGCTCTTCAGAGGATGTTGTCTCAGCAAACAGCTCCAGCAAGGTGTAGCGGCTGTCGAAGTCCATGTGCTGCTCAATGCCATCCTGCTGGCTCAGGGACAGCAGGACGTAGGCCCGGCTCCCTGCAGCAACACCAAAAACTCTTCAGGCTCCACGAGAACAACCCTCACCCCACCCCACCTGGGCAGGACACACTCGCAGGCGGGGAGCTGCGACCTAGAACCGTGCTCTGTCCTTTCATCTGGATTGGCAGCATTTTGCTCCACCGACCGAATAACATCGCGTTTGTTCCACTCGTAAAGCTGCGAGACTCCCCCAAAGCAGCAGCCCCAACCAACCGACCCCGGAACAGGGCTCCAGGGAACAAGAGTTGAGTTGTAACCTGAATCATCCCCCCACCTGCCTCACCGGAGAGCCAGATGGGCTCCGGCACTAGGCCAGGGGAAGGTGGATCTCTTGTGGGATGCACCGGCACCAGCAAGCACCCAGGAGCACCCCCGCCTCCTCAGGCACTCCTGAGCCACGCAGCTCCTCCCAAATGAGAGGACGGGGTGAGGAGCAGGCTCTGCTCACCAGGGCTCTGCCAAGCCCCTTGGCACAGATCTGCCTTGTAAGGGTATGTAGGAGGAGACCGTCGGCTCCTTCATGCGTATCTAGTCAAGGAGCTTTCCGCTGCAAAAAGAGATAGTAAGGAAGCCAAAGACCAATGCTAAGTGAGGAGAAACAAATCTGGCCACTTCCAATTAGCAAGGACAGCTCCAATGTGAGAATGACTATTTTTCGGTAAGATTAGCTGACCAAGGACCTGGCTGAACTGGGATGATCAGGGAAGACAAACACAGAGACATGACACCCGACCACAGTACTGTTCACAAAGACAATAACCAGCCACAAACCCAGCCAGCTGCGCTAATTGAGAGGCTCTGAAGACTCTGCAGGCAAACTGGGACTTTGCAACTGAGAAGGCCCCTGCGGGTCTGGGACGTTGGAACAGGCTTGATGGAATTATGCCAACGGATGGAACAGGCTTGATGGAATTATGCCAACGGATGGGGCGATGTGCCCGGGAAGGGAATCGGCATGGAACACAGAGGAGGGGTGCACAGAAAGGGGTAGAAAAGGGGCCGGTCGTGTGTAAACCGTGGCTGGTCAGTGTCTCACCGAGTCCCGCGCCTTTATCATGGCAGTTTGTCTCCACTTCTTTCACAGTCTCCTTATTAAATCTTGCCTAACTATCTCAACACCCCGCGCGCGTGCAAGTGCTGCAAGGACTGAGTGCCAGCTGCTGGCGAGACCCGCGTGGGCATGAGCGGACTTGGGGGGCAGCAACTGGAGCGTGGCTGGGGGGGTGTCAGCGGCTGGAGCGAGGGAGCGTCCTGGCGTTGGCACCCGGAGGGGCCGCTGCTTTCAGGATCTGGGGAACGTTCCAGAGTCTGAGCCCCCAGTGCCAGCTACTGGGGAGACTGGTGTAGAGCGGACTGGGTGCCAGCTACTGGAGTGAGTGCGAGGGCAGCAGGGCTAGTGACTGGAGTGGGTGGGGTCCTCAGCCATTTAGCCACTGGGGAGGGAGCGGTGTGTGTCCCAAAAAATCCCCCTGGGAGGGAGGCGAGCGAGGAGTTCAGCAACAGCAGCTCAAGCAGAACAGCAGCGCCTGGTGCTGGGGGGGTGGGTGTGTGTGGGGAGGGTGAGGGCAAGCACCTGTATCTTCCCCAATCCTGCCGGGCGTGTGGCGTGCACGGAATTCGTGAGCAAAACTTCACGCTGGGATAGTGTCTGACCTGCCCCGTGTTTGCTGGCGTGGATCGGGCCCGACCAGCTGGGGAGCAGGGGGAGCCCTGAAGCGGGGAAACGGGGGGGGTTTGGATCCAGGCAGAGGGGCCACGCTGCTACTCGAGGGATCCGTGAAGGTGTGTGCGTGTGCTTGTGAACCTGGGGAGTGCCACGTGCTGGCAGGAGTGACCTTCTGCCCCTGCCAGCTGACTGAGAAGGAGGTGACATGGCTCTCTGTGCTCGTAGTCATGGCAGGGCCGCACGTACGCGCTGTTGAACGCCTGTGCCTGGTCATCAGTGCGCCTCTGGGACGGACGCTCAGTTTTGCTGGCGGTTGAACATGCAAACAAGAAGGTGGCAGCTGCATCCCTCAGCCTGAGGGACTCTGGATCCCCAGGCTGGGCTCCAGTGGTGGGGCAGGAGAGGTGCTGGGCCTGCTGGAGGAGACAACCACCCCTCATACCCCCTAACACTACTAACATCCCCTGACACCCCTAACAACCACCCCGAACATCCCCTGACACCCCTAACAACCACCCCGAACATCCCCTGACACTCCTGACAGTTAACAGGGTCCCAGCTCAGGAACCCATCAGGGGAAAGAGCTCCCGAGTCTTGGAGCACCCCAGGCAACTACAAGCAAGGAGACGCTTGCAAGAGCCAGTCTGATTCTTCTCCTTTTGCCAACAAGCCCCGAGACACGCCGCCTCCGACGCCTCCAAAGGGACTGGCACCCCTCCGCTGCCCAGCAGCACCTCCTCGGTGGCTCCGAGCAGCCGCAGCCCCCACCTGCATCGTGCGCAGCCAGGGCCCTCAGCATCTCGCCGGCGCCGCGGCGGATTCGCTTCTCCTTGTGGCACAGCATCCTCATCAGCAGGTCGAGGGCCCCCGCCTCCTTGAAGGCGCCCGCCAGCGAGCCGATGCCGGCGTACGCGCTCAGCACGTGGATGGTGTTGAGGACGGAGGATTCGGGGGCCCCGCTCTCGGCCAGCTGCCGCCCGGCTCGCTGCACCAGGCTCCTGACGTCAGCCTTCATCTCCAGCAGCGAGGCGTCCTCCGGCGGGGCGTCCGCGGCCAGCGGGCTGGCTGCCTTCTCCCCTTTCCCCCCCTGCCCTTCCAGCTCCCTCTCGCCCAGCAGCGCCGGGCAGCTGGCGCAGACCTCTTCTGCAGACATCCACACGGAGATGCTCTCCGGCTTGGTCTCCGCACCGGAGGCACCTGCTGCCTCCCGCCGCTCTCCCTTCCAAGCTGGCAATGCTCCACCGGACCAGGTACTCAGGCTGGCCGTCGCGGCCTCGCCGCTGCCGCAGCAGCTCCTCCGGCCAGGCCTGCAGTTGGGCTCCCAGGTGCACCAGCAGGTTGCCATCCCGCCTCCCGTTCACCATGGCAGGAAACGTGCCTGCGGAGACACAGGGGAAGCAGGAGCAAGCTTTTATTTCTGAGCCGCGTGCCAAGGAAAGCGTGAATAAGCACCTCAGCTGCTTGACAGCAGAAGCGGCTGAGGCACAGCTTTTGACCTTGAGATCCTGCACCCGTGATAAAGCTCTGAAGGAAAACCCATTTTGCAGAAGCTCACACCCCCCCTCCAAGAAAATGAGCCTGTGTTTCACATACACACCCTATTCCCAGCACCACTGGCAAACACAGAAGTAGGTTCTCCTCAGAAAAAAAAAAAAAACAAGGCAAAATGGGCTCATTCGAATCCTCTTCTAAGACAGCAAATAACAGGGGACCAGAGTTCTGTTCTCATCTCTGCCACTGTCCACAACATGACCCTGTGCAAGCTGCTGCTTTTGTACTTCTGTCTTCCCTCTTGTTATTTACCTTTTTTTTCTTTTTTTTTTTTTTTCAGACTGCAAGTTTACCTAGAGCTCAAGGCACTTTCTCTGTGCAGCTGGACCTAACTTGAGTCATCAGGCCATGAAGACAATAACCCGCAATTTCTCAGATCAAGTTCATACACATCAAATCAGGTCACTACCTAAAAGCCACTCAGTATTTCCTCATTGGCCTCCTCTCAGATATCCTTTGCCTTTAAAATCTTTAGTCAACGGTCAAATTCAACAAAATTAAAAGACTGCTACTCTCTGATGCCTGATTGTTCTGCATATCTTAGGACTACAAAGAACCCATGACACTACTCTGCTTTCATCTATTGAAAGAGGGAGCGTGAAATAATTTGCAGTCTAAGACTGAATGCCAGCAATCAACTGGCTGACCATCAACGATACCACACACAAGGGACTGACTTCATTACTACAGGGGATGCCAGATCGGAGTCTGATAAGAAGGTTCTCTGAGGAGCTCAGGCAGGTGGCAGTGGAAACACATGGACAGGCCCTCTCCTTGCCACTTAGACATACCAGCAAGAGAAGCAGTGAAGCAATGTGCTGTTCAGCTGGTGGTAACACAAGTCGTTCTTAAAAAAGGAGTTAACACGCACAGGAAATAGCCAATCCATGCACAACCGAAGAAGATACCGACCACCAAAGATGACAAGGCACATTAAAGATGTTTCCCAGGTGCAGAGAGAAGCCTGAACTCCTGAGAAATTCATACCTACCTTCAGTTGTGCCTTCCTTGGAGTTTGCGGCAAGCCAGCTGGGAATCTTTTCGCAGTCCCTCTGTGATACAAGGACCAAGCTGTTCTCCTCTGCTTTTTAGCAGTGTTTAGATGCTGCAACATAAGCCAAACAATTGTTTTCCCTAATTGTGCTTGTACAGTGCACAAAAAAACCCATACCACAAAAGGTTCACGTAAAATAAAAATCATAGTAAAATAAAAGTCTCTGTGAAGCATTATTCTGTTTGATAACTTCACCCCATCCCCACAACACGGCATTTAGTACGGAAAAATCCCCTTTAGAGCAGAGCTATCTGAAGGGGCCCAAAAGGATGTGTAGCCAGGTAGGAGCGGTTTTAGATTTAGGGCACCTGAAGGAGCAGCCGCAATGCGTGTGCTGAACGAAGCGCCCCGGAGCCCCGGGCCAACCCACAGCTCAGCCGTGAGGCTGCAGAAATACACGCGCAGCGGCAAGCCTCAGGGTCGCGGCGAAGGAAGATGAGGAGGAGGCCACGAAAGCCCACGGGGCAGCTGGTTCTGAAGGGAGACCCTGCTTCCCGGGCAAGGAGAGCAGGCCCCCTCACAGCCGCGGGGCCGGCGGCCCACGGACACCCGCGGGCCCACGGCAATGGCCGCCGCGGAAAACAACGGGATTTCTGCCGGGCCCCTTCTCCACACACACCTCAGCCAGCCCCGCTCCACCGCCCAGCCCCTCCGCTCCCCGCCGACCATCCCCACAGCAGCCCCGACACGGGAAAATGGAGGCTCCCGCCAACCCCCCCCCCCTTCTTCCTCCTCCGCCGTCCCTCAGCGGGTCCCGTCCCCCGGCGCCGTTTTCCTTCGCCCGGGAACAGCCCGAGGGTTCCCCAAGCCCCGCGGGGGCAAAAGCGGCACCGCGACCCACCACCTACCACGGCCACAGCTGGAGGAGGAGGAGGAGGAGGAGGAGGAGGAGGAGGAGGAGGAGGAGGAGGAGGAGGAGGAGGAGGAGGAAGAAGAAGAGCAGCAGGCAGCAGCAGGAGGAGGAGGAGGAGGAGGAGGAGCCTCCTGTGAGGGGCGGTGGGCCTGGGCCGGCCGCTGAGGGCCTGGCTCTGGTGGCGCAGCTCCCCGCCACGCCTGCACCCCAAAAACCGGGTGTGAGGGGCGTGGAAAAATAAAATAAATAAACAACTAAATAAACCAATCAAAATACCTTCCGCTCCTCCAAGCTCGGGATAGAAACGGGAAAAAGAAAAGAAAAAAAAAAGACCGGGGTTGGGCGCCGGGAGGCTGCGCCCGCACCCGCTCGCAGAGGCTTGCCTTTCGCCGTGCAGCGGTGCGGTTTCTGCGGGAATTAGGGAATTTTTGTGAAGGAGCGTGGAGGCTGGCGCGTTCAGCCCTGGCGTTACCGCAACCACCGGCGTTAAACCCCAAAATCGCGGCCCAGCGGCGTGATGGGGCCTGGGGTAATTTCAGGCCTGGCGCCCAGCCTGTTCGGCCTGCCCGGGTCGGAGCTGCGCCCGCGCGCCCGGTTTGGGGGGTTTAAGGCTGCTGCCTTCTCGATGTGGCTGGGGGGGCAATTAAAACCAGTTGCATGCAAGCCTGACCTGTTGCCCTCCCCTGCTTTGGTGTTACCCTGATCTGGAATGCCCAGTACCATAAAATCCCAATCCTCATCATTTGCTCAGTATTTCCCCTTCTCGTAGCAGTGAGCTACAACCCAGCAGGTGCACGGTTTTCTATCAGTCTGTTAACATTTCTTTCTAATTAGAAACAAAAACATTACAATCAAAGGCTAAACAGATGACAGTCTGCTTTCTTATTTGATCCTAAAGCAACTTCATGTATGTGTCCAACCTCGTTTCCACCCCCAGCACGAATACAACTGATTAGACGATCTCCATGTTTTACAATAGCAATCAGCAATTAATGCAAACAATACAATTGCAGTTAATTCTAGGCTGGATAAATCAGTGTGGTGGTGAATCCGTCTGCAGGGACCATCCTCCAAGGCTGTGGCACCAAAGGTGGACTGTAAATGTTTGTGTTTCCAAGCCAGCCTCTTGATTTCTCCATTAGGATGTGCAACCTCCGTTCATGCTATTGATGCTCTCTTTCCAGAATCCCGTGGACGCTCTTGAAATCTGTGTTTTCCATTAACACGTCATTTTCCTTCCCCATTAACTCCCAAGGCATTGTTAAAATTTAGAGGATCAAACTGGCATTTAGTTACATCATGCTCGACAAGTCCCTTCATCTCCTGTAGAGATAAACACCGTATATTTGCACTAATGGAAGGAAAAATAGCTTCCTAAATGCCACACAACTACATAAAAGCTGATACCACATGCACAACCATTGCTCTTTTCCTCTGTCCTTGGCAGCTGTTACTTTGTGCATGTACTACACCTCCAACACCGCTGTGTTTAATGTCCCAAACGTGAGGTGGTGACAATGCTCTGCAGTGGGAGATGCAGCCTGGCTGGTTGGCAACATCCCTTAACCAAAACTGTCACCAACAATAAACGGCAATGGCCAGATAGGACACAGGCATCTTGTTTGCGACGCTGAGAGGTTTTCTGCGGTATTCATAAGCCCTGCTTATGCCTTGGCTCTGACGGTCTCGATACCATGCTTAGTCAGTCATTTCTCCTAAAAATAAAGATGATGTCTGTGGTATCCTGCTCCGCATCAGGAGTTTTACATAGTCATACACAGACCCCTGTGCACAAGTAACACGGGGTTACTTGCGCTGATAGGGGTTTTGTGGTGCTGACCCACGAAGACGTATCTGTGCAGGCACGCTGAAAACGGGGCTGGCTGTGGCATAACGTGTAAAAGTGAAGCACCCCCCCTCCTGATGGAGAAAGAGCCATTGCAGCTGTGTTTTGCTCCTAAGCACTTTCTGTACAGGCTTCTCTCCTGCTACCCTCAGATGTATTTTCTCCAAATTGCACTGTTAGGAGTAGTGCAGCCTTTCCACCGCACACTTTTATCAGCGCTGAACTTTCCTTACATTATCCTGGTACCTGCTCTAGGACCTGATGCTACATAGAGCACTTTTACGGGGTTGCAATTTTGTGACAAACAAAACAAAAAGCCAAACAACCACCACGCAGCTGCATTTTTAGCTGGCATACTGTTGACCCAGCAGCACTGACGATTGCGATGAGCCCTTCTTCCTTTGGTTTCTTTCCCACCTTTAGGTACTTTACTGAGCCCCCATGTGCCCTTGACCCGGCTTCTAGGGACCTACAGGCTTTGACCTGAGTTGAAGTAATGCTTCTCCAGTTTGGACTTTGAATATTGTCGTATCTTCTTGTGGCAGTTTTCTGCAGGAAAATTAACAGTCTTGGTGTTGGGCGTCATAAAGACAACAGTTAAGGTCCATCCTTAAAGACATCAGGGTGTCTAAGAGCAATGGACTTGGAAGAGGGGAGGGGAAGCAACCTCATTTTCACTAGACGCCTGTCCATGTCAGGAGGCTGTTCTCCCTGCGGCCTTCCAACCGGTTTATTTTAAAGCCCAGTTTGTTCTTTCTCCCCACCCAGAGATGTGGGGCTGGCACCGCACACGCCAGCCACCACGTCGGGATGCCGAGATGCCAGCTGCATGACATCTCCCACGACTTCTCTGTTGAGTCCCGTACCAGGCAAACACCACCTTAACAACAGCATTTTTATACAAAGCTTTTACCTATACTGGAAATACCTCTGTCACTACTAAAAAATACCTCTGTCTTCCTTTGGTTTGTGGTAGTTTATCAGTATTTATGTACTGGGGTCAGGCCTAGGGGTCATCTTTGCTGTTACAATGGCAAAAATTTCTCTTCCTAGGCCATAGTTATTGCCTAACTACTCCATAAGCAGCACGGGCTGTTTGTCTTCCCTGTTTATCTCTTGCTTGAGATCCTCCTGCTCTTCCCTGTCAACACCCATGAATTAGAATAATTCTTTTCCAAAAGTCCCCGTTCCTCCTCATTGCTGGTTTATTATTTCTCTCGTCTCAACGCCATGCCCTGCTCACCAGCCCCGCTGCTGAGCTTTGAGACAGGACAGCCCTGCTGTCCACCACAGCTCCCTTCTGGAATCACCCCCCAGGCTCTGGGGCTCCCCGCCCGTCAGGTCCCCCCTGTGCAGGAGGCAGTGGGGACAAAGACTTTTGCAAAGAGCCCTTTTTTTGCCACATCACGCCCAGACAGCCCCCCCACCCTCCACAAACAAGTGCAGGAGTCTGCCTCTGATCCCTGTTCACCAGCCCTAAGGTACGTGTCATCCCCTCCCGCAAAGCACGGCCAAGATCCCAAATCTGTGCACAAAATGATAACATTTATTGAAAGAGTAAATTTTTTTTTTTTTTTTTTTTAATACAAAAAGAAAGCTCTGTACATAGTACTGTGATTACTTCCACATCCTTCCAGAAACACAACCCTGGAAACCGGAGGGGGGGGGGGGGGGGGGGGAATAATCCCACACACACTTATGCATACACACGCACACGCACGCACGCACACACAACCCTCAAACTAGTAAAATGAACTAAAAAAATGTCACCACACCAATAAATGCCATTTCATCCCTGATACACAAGTGTTGTTACAAGTCAGCACTTAAATAAAATACACCATTAGCGTTTAACCAGCAGTTGCCTTGGGGGAGCCAGGGAGGGGATGGGGTTAGGACAGCCCGTAGCAGCAGGGGGCACTCCTGCCATCCTGGCCGGCCAGCTCGGCTCCACGGCGCTGGCGCAAGCGAAGCGGAGCAAAGGCAGGCCGCCGCGATGCGCCGGGGCACAAAAAAAAAAAAAAAAACAAAAAAATACAACGCAAAACCCCCCCCCCCCGCCCCAAACCCCATTTTTCTCCCCGGATGAACTCCTGCGGTACCCTGCCTTCTTGGGGCGGCTCTCGGATGCTTCGCGAGGGAGCGCGGCCCAGCATTCCCCCGCGGCAGGCATCGCTCTCGCAGCGAGGATACGAAGGGGAGGCAGCATGCAAAGCGTGTGCGTGTGTGTGTGTCCCACCACCACCACCCTGCTCCCCAAAAACCCTGCCCACGCTGCCCAACGAAGCGAGCAGAGGACCCGGGGAAGCCGTTTGCGCCGAGGAGAGAACCCGCCGGCGCCCGTGCGCTGGGGGAACGGCTGGAGAAAGGGGGGGGGGTGTGGAAATCACCAGTTAGTTGAGGAGTTGGGAGCTGCGCAGCGAGCGGGGATCAGCCACCGCTGGCCCTTTGTCACCCCCGGGTGTCACCTTGGGCAGTTACAGGAAGGCCAGAACAGCGGCAGGTCCCAGGACTAGAGGGGAAAACGAGGGAAAAACCCAGCCTCCTGGGTTCCCCCGCTTCTAGAAACCGGCCCCTGCTTCACCCGCCTTCCGCCCAAAAGGGTGGGTACGGCGTCCTCAGTACAGGGGAGTGGGGAACGAGCATCCCCGTTTTGGGTCAGCTCGAACCCCGGCACATGCTGGTGGGTGGAGAGCGCAGCTTAAACGCTAATGCTGAGGGAACGTGTCCAAGGTTACAATACAAACTCAAAAGCAAGGCCCCTTTCCTGCCTCCGTGCCCACCCACCCCTCTCCCATCCCCCTGGTACAAACCCCATGAAAACTGTACAGGAGCCAAACTTTTATTCCTTAAAGAATTACATAAATACTGAGTTTAACACTTAGAAAAATAAAGTAATTTTCTTTTTTTTTTTTTTTTTTCTCATTTTTTTTTTTTTTCTCCTCTTTTTTTTTTTCTCCAAGGCTTCTTTTGTCTTTAACTTAAAAAAAAAAAAAAAAAAAAAAAAAAAAGTTACAGTAGCCGCTTCTTCCCCCAAGGATTCAGCAGCTTCTCTCACTTGCTCTCTCTCCCTCTCCAGGGACAGGGCTAGGTAGTAGAGCCATTCACAGCAACTCCCATGCAGGACCAAGCATGCTCCAGCCCTTCTCCCCCAGCCTTGCCGAGCCCGCGCAGGCTTCCGACCTGCTCCTCCACAGCCCAGGGTGGCCTGCAGGTCACCCGGGGCAGGGGGGTTCAGAGGAAAAGGAAGACCCTGCCACCTGCCCAGCGCCCCACGGGCTTTTCCTTTTGACACTTGAGTTGTTTCTCTCCACCTTGTGTCTGCCAAATCTAAAAAGCACCGGCTGGAGCTGCAAGGAAGGGGGGGGGGGGGGGATGTGGGAAAGACCCAGCCACGTTCCCCTGGGTGTATGGAGCTGGCAAGCGGCGCGAAGGGCGGAGAGCGTGGGGCTGGGCTGGCCGCAGAGCCCCGTGTCGAGGAGCTTTCCAGGGCATCCAGCGACCACCTCAGCTGCCACGGCAGAGCCGAGTCAGGGCTGCAAATCTGCCGGGGGCAGCCCGGCGAGGAGGCACCGAGGGCTCGCCGCCGCGCGCAGGGGGAGAAAGGGGGGGGCCACGTGCCCCAGGCTCTGCCCCCCAAAAGGAGGGCACGCAGGCCCAACCGGAGACCCGGCCGCTTTCCCCTCTCCAGAAGCCTGGGGCGAGTCGCTGCAGCCAGGGACCCGTCGCCACCACAAAGGCACATTGCTGAGGCCAAGCAGCACAGCCTCGGCCCGCTCCCGGTCCGAGCTGAGCCCCACGCAGAGCAAACACTCATGGGCAAGGTTGACTCGGAGCGCCCAGAGCCTCCAGCTGGGAACGGCCCACGGTATTTATTTACAGCGCAGAGCAATCCTCCCCTCGAGAGACAAGTTTCTTTGGCTGGCGTGAGACAAGCACAGCTATCGCAGCGTCCGAACGTCCCCAAGCCCTGCGTGGCCCCAGCACAGCTCCGCCCCAGGTGAGTCCTGCAGCCCCACGCGCATGCCTCGTGTGTGTGTGTGTGTGTGTTTGTGTGGATGGGTGCATGTGTGTGTGTGTGTGTGGATGAAGGAAACGTGAAAAGGCAACAATAAATAACTGGTGCAGTCTGTACGAGAAGGGATTGCCACCAGCCCTGCCCGCAAGCCAGGGACAGCACAAGGCTGGCAGCAGAGGCCTCTCAGTCACTCTTGGCGCTGTGCGAGGTGTCCAAGTTGACCACCTGCAGCTCCGTGAGGCTGCTGCCACTGCTGCTCTGCTGCCCGATGACAGCCATCTAGAGAGAAAAGGGAGGAGGAAGCGCTGGGGGACAGCGTGCCCCGCGAGGAGACCGCGCGTGCCAGCAGCCAGGGTGGCACCGTCCCCTCCGGGCACCCGCCCAAAGCGGGCGAGACCTCCTCGCCTAAGGGTGGGTGGCACTGAGGGGGTTTTCCCAGACCTGAGGACAGGCCCTACCCAGGGACCCAGGTCTGCCCAGACCCACTAAGGATATGCAGAGCAAGGACACCCCCCCCCACACACACACACACACCACCCCCCTCCCCGAACACCTGCGAGTACCACTCTGCTCCTACCTGGTGAAGCTGGACAGCTGAGACTGGGATCTGAACGGTGCCTGATGGGGCTGTCAGGAACACTTGGGGGACACCACCTGCCACAGAGAGAGGGAGAACGCACAAAAATGACACCGTCCCTCAAAACAGTGCATATCCACCCCCCCCCCCCCCCCCCCCCCGGGGGATCTTTCTCTGAGCTCCATCAGGATGAAGGTGCCTGTTTGCAGGCACGGAAGCATCCCAGGAGAAAGCCACACGCGCTAGTGACCCAAACGTGGGGAGAAGCAGGCACAAGCCCTCCTCAGTCCAACTCTTGGCTTCATGCTGCTTCGTCCCCCAGCGCAACTACACAGCTGTCTCCGAGCTCCCTCCGCTGCCTGCCCCACACACCACCCGTCCCAGCAACCCTCACCCCTTTTCCCCAGCCGCCGGCTCAAGCAACCCTTTGCAGAGAGAATGGCGGGGTCTAAAAGCAGGCAGCAAGCATCCAGGCCTTTGTACAGCCGCCAGGACTACTCCAGAAGAAAATTCTTGTAAATTAATATACAGTGTAAATACATGCGCGATGAGAAAAAAAAAAAAAAAAAATAAAAAAAATATCAGGGTGTCAAAGCCCTTCAGGGAGCAGTGAGGCAGACAGCTGTCTTACCCTGATCCTGGACCTGGCCATGGGACACCTGCATCGCTGAGGGTGCCTGTGAGAAAGCGTTGAGGACCGCAAGTCCACCGTCCGCGAGGCCAGATGTGGGCGCGTACATCACCGCGTGTGGGCTGGGGTACATCATGTGGCCACCCACCGTGGTTGGCACGGACGACGTCATGATGGTTGCCGGGAGGGTCACTGGCACCAGGACAGACTACATGTGAGCCACACAAAAGGAGTCTGCTACACTCCAGACAGCTGCTGAGCACCCCTCCCTCGGCACGCTGTCCTGGGGTGCAGGTGCCTGGAGATACCCGTCTTACCCTCCCAAGCCCTTGGGGGAAAGCCCTGGGGAGCAGGCAGGAGAGCTTCAACCTCTCCCTTCCACCAGCGAGTACGAGAGGGCGGAAAAAGCAGAGGAGCCAAATAGCCCAGGACTGAATTTTCGACTTGAGATCGGTTGGATCTCAAAAACTTGAGTTTTCGGATGAAGCTTTAATCAAGCTGTTGAACTGGATTCGGTCTGCATCCAGGCACCCGAACTCCGATTCTGCTGACAACAGTGGTGTCGTCCACATAAAAAATCTCAAGGAGACGCGAGCCAACACCTTGTGCTGGGGGGGGGGGGGGGGGGGGGGGGCAACGCTGGCTCACTAAGAAACCATCTGAGAATTGGGCAACCTGTTCCCAGCTCCGTGCTGCAAGTAAGAGCAGATCAAGTGTCTGGGGAGGCTCCGAAATCCCCAGCAGCAGATATAGCGTAGCACAGGGGCTGGCAACAGGGATAAATACACCCGGGAGACTGCCAGCATGGCTGGGATAGGCTTGGTTTGAAGAAGGATCCTGAGCTGGGAGCAGGCGTGAGGTCTGTGGGTGCGAGTCCTTGTCAGCAGTGGTTAGGGAGGAAAGACACAACACGGTTACGGGTAACAGTCCCCATTACCTGTTCCACTGGAAGAGGTCTGGGTAAGGTCAGTGCTGCTGTCACTAGAGGGAGACGTTTGCTGCGGTGCCTGGTGCACCTGGATCGCCTGGACTGGGACCTGCTGAGCCATGGTACCACCTGGGGAGAGAGGGGAGCCCGTGAGCCTGTGGCTCTGCGAGGATACGGGCACTCTGGGCTACGTGAAAACCAACCCACCCCCCCACCCCCACGTCCTTCTCCGGACACGCACAGCTCCGCAGCACAGCTCTGCGCCGGGGAAGGCCAAGCGAAAGCAACACGTGGCAGAAACCAGGCCCTGCCCCCCCAAAAAGCAGGCCCAAAAACGCTTTCTCCTGGTACACGGGGGCCGTTAGCTGGCTTACAGGGCTCCAGAGAGAAAAGGAAAAGGCTACAGCAGGTTTTGTCAAGCTCCCGGGGAACGCTTCAGGTGTATCCGGGCCCCTCCTCACCGTTCCTGGCTCCGGCAGGATACTGCACAGGTGATGCTGGGAGGAGGAGAGGGCCCAGCACACGTCCCCAGCACCGCCCAAGCTCAGCCAGCCCGGCGAGGATCACCTCTCTGCACCAAGCAGAGCTCCAAACGCCCAGGCCAGCCGGGCTCCGCCGCCTCCATGCTCTGAAGCCCAGCTCCATCCTCCTCCACAGGGCACTCGGGGGACAGCTCGCTCACCCGGCCCGTGATCTCGAGGACATCACAGTGCCCTACCCGTGAATTTAGAGACCACCAGGCCACAGGGTAACGCATCCCAGAGCTGCAGGGGCACAGCCACACAGCCTCCAGCCCAGCCCACGCGCTGCAAAGCTCTTCAGAGAGAGAGCTCAGCACAGAAAGCTCCCCTCTGGCTCGGGTCCTGTCCCTTAGACGGGAAAGCAAGGGATGCCAGAGAGCAGGAATCACCCTGCTCAGACTAAGCACCTCCCCATGCACCACGCCACAGACACACACCTCCGTTATTCTCATAGCTCGTCCAGATCACAAGGGAAATCCAGTCCCCTTTCACGGGATCACACCGTCTGCCAGGGCCCACGGGAGCCATAAAGGCTCCGGGAAAGCACGCAGGCTTGTCAGACTCACTGACGTGGGCACAAACGGGCAGGACACAAGAAATACCATCTCGCTCCTCAGATGATGACTGCCCCCACGAAGGAGAGCCCACCCCTGCTCTGAAACGCCAGTCTGGAGCACGTCCAGCCCCAGGACGACACCTGGAGAGCCTTGACTCGGCGCAACAAGAAATTCCTACAGAGGGACAACAAGGCAGCACAGCAGCACCGCTCCCTCCTCTGCTCCGGGTCTCTCCTAATCTATCCTCGGCACTGTGGTTCAGCGGCACGGGCTGCTGCAGATCCAAACACAAAAGCGAGGGCAGCTACTCAGAGCCAAACGCGAGCACTCAGAAAACACCCACGGGGCACCTGAGCCCCATCAGTCCCCCGAGCAGCACGGGTCAGCCTCAGCACAGCCGCCCCAGGGGACCTTATCTCCTCTGCGTTTGCTAGCCGCGGGGGCAAACCCTGGGGGCAGGAGAGCAACAACCCACTGCTCCCGTGGGTATCCCCCGGGGATGCTGCCGCTCCTCACGCCAAGCATCCTCTGCCCTGCCTTCCTCCCTGCCCCCCTGCGGGTGGGTGCCCTGTGCTCCCACCTCCTCCGTGCTCCCGGGGCTGGGAGGGTGGGGTTGGGGTGGGGGGATCAGCTCTCTGGCCAGGACCAGGACCCCCTGGCCCCCCCACACACACCTCCATCCCTCCTCCTCAAGCAAGCGGAGGAGAAGCGAGTGCTGACCTGACAGCGACACGATCTGCCCTCCAGCTCTGGCAGGGAAGCGGAAGACTGTCTGCTGTGCCTGCTGCAGCTGTCCAGCCGTACCCGTGACCACCTGGCCCGGCGGCTGTAACTGAGCGAGAGGCATGGTAGGGGTCCCCGGAGACAGGGAAGCACCTGCCAAAAGGAGGGAGAAAGAAAGGCTTTGTCACCACCCCTTCTCCTCGCTCCCTCCAGGCTTCTCGGTGCTGCCCTGTGGTCCCAGCTCAGCTCCCTGCCATCACGCCCTTCCCAGCAGCAGGGCCAGCTAGAAACACTGTAAGGAAACGGTCGCTACACGACGCTTTCTCCAGCCACCGACCCGGCCTGGGCTCAAGCAAGGCATGCCAGCCAGTTCCACCCTACAGCAGCAACCACTCCGCTTCCTCCTGCCGCTAAGTCTCCTCTCCTCTCTCTTCTGGCGCGTGGCAACAACCACAACAACAACAGGATGGACGCAGCCCTCGTCCCCTAAAGGCACTGACCTGACATGAGGGTGAAGCCGGTGGGTATCGGCATGAGGCCCCCCGATGTCACTGCACTGGCTCCAGTAGTCTTCAGCACTGTCCCGTTGGCACTGGTGACGGCATTGGGGCTGATGCTGGCAGACACTGGCGCCAGGTAATTAGTGATGGGGAATGACGGGCCGCTGCTGACCTGCATGGAGGTCGAGGTGGTGGGGGCTGTCTGGATGGTGGACGTTGTCCCCGGCAGGTTGGTGATGGTGAACGCTGGTTTCAGTGCATCCTGGGGAAGGAGAGATTGTGACAGCTCAGAGACCGGCCCTGTGGATCTGGGCAACGTCTGCCCACGAGAAAAAAAAAAAAAAAACCAAAAAACAAAAACACCCAGGCTCCATAGGCTGCATCCCCATGCTAAAACATACCCCCACAGCCTGGTGCGGAGCAGAGAGGAGCTGCTGGTACAACCACGAGGAAACTGTGCTCGATAACGGGGCATGAGGAGAGCTGGAGGGAGCTCAGCGTAAACCTTGGACAGAAGCCCAGGGCCACGCAGGTCCCCTGAGAGACTTCCCTGCAAGACACTAGGGGATGAAGCAACCCTTCCAGGAGCCCCCCACCAAAGCCTCTAAGAGGAGAGCAGCCTCTTTTTGGCACGCAACAGGCAAAAGCAGCCCTTGCAGGGCCAGGCGTAAAGGCAAACACTGCGTCTCCTGTCAGGAACACACATCACTTCCCTTATGGCAGGAAACACATGGCCAAGAACGAGCCAAGAACCGGCTCTTAAAGGCAGCTGTACACCAAAAAGCACCAAGGAGAGGTGAGGGAGGCCAACCCCGGGCACCACGGAGCCTCAAACCCAGCCCTGGCAGCTGCTTTGGCAGGCCCCGGGGAACGCCTCCCCAAATCTCCCGGAGCAAAGGGGAGAAACCTGGCGAGGGGAAGCAACCGTGTGCCAGCCCGTTAGCAGGAGACGGGCGCTGAGGCGAATGCTTCCAAGGGATCCCTGCGCGTCAGCTACAGCCGGCACGCACCGCGGCCTTGCGAGGAGCCTCGGAGCTTTGTGCCAGGCTGAGGACAGGGAGGCTGGGCACCGGGAGGGAAAGGGCCCTGTGCTGAGCCTGGGAGGCCGGCCTCCCGAGGGACGGTGTGCCCAGCAGCCTGGCATACACAACACCCCAGTCTCCCCAGCCACAAAGGATGCAGCTGGCCGTGGCTTAGATCTGCAGGAACCCAGCAAGCCCAGCGGGATCCCCTGGCAGTCGCACTTCACCCAACCTACCTCCTTCCCCTGCCCTCCAAAACCACCTTTTGGGTACCCGGGGTCTTCACGGCTCCTCTCCCGCCCTGCTCCGCTGACCCAAAGCGGATTGACAAGGCACTGCTCCACAGGAGACCGTGCCACAGGGGACCTGCTGTTCCCGTGCCCTGCCACGGCTGCCAGCACGCCTGGGAAGAGTTAAGGCTGCCCCACACTCCCACCCCTCCCCGCTACAGGCTGGTGGGCCCAGCTCTCCCATGCTAAGCCTTGCTCCCAGCTTGTCCAGCTGCCAGGAACAAGGAATTCACAGCTCAACGAACAGCTAAAAAAGGGAAGGCAGCCCATTTTGGACAGGGGGGAGCCAATCCTGGGCACCCAGCCCTGCCCCAGGGCCCAGGGAGGGAGGAGAGCAACGCCCCTCCGCCTTGGCACTGCAGCCCTCGAAGTCTGAATTAGAAGAGGCACGTGATAACGGAGCGGAGCCCGGCAGAAGCACTTTCCATTAGCTCAACCACACACTCCTGCCACCCGGCACACGGAGGCCGTGGGTGCCCTCCGCACACGGGTGACAGGGCAGACCTCCCCAAAGTCCACCGGGTCACGGGAGCCACACCGGAGCAGGGTGGGTCCTGTTCCCAGCTGCTAAAAACAAGGCTCCCTCATCCCCCAAGGCACAGCCCTGAAGCTGCACACCCCCGAAATACAGTCCCCAAGCACCCAGGGCACTTCGCATCCCCCGCCTCGCACTCCGCACTCCCAGGGCTGCGGAAGGCACACCGAAAGATCCAACAACCCCCAAAACTCAGGGGTATCCTCAGGACTCCCTAAAAGCACGAGGGCAAACCTCAGCGTGACGCGAGCAGCAAAAAGGTGCTTGGAAGGGATGCTGTGCCAGCAGGCTCAAAGCACGCACGCAGCATCCTCTGCCCTCCCTACGCTGCCACAGGCGAGAGTCAGGTTCCTCCCATCTCCTCCGTGCTGCTACTGGGCTGCAAGCAATAGTTCCCAGTACAGAAAGAGAGCTGGGAGAGACTTTTTGCCTTCTCCCCATGGCTGGCTGGGGTGCCTCAGAGCCCCTGGGCACCTTGTGTCCCCACCCCCCCCCCCCCCAGCACCTTGCAAAGCGACGACCACAGGCACGAGGCCAGCCTTCAGTAGGAGCCAAGTCGCGGGTCACCTTCAGCAGAGACTACCCAAGGGGTCACGGACAAGCCCTTCCTTTCCTGATCCTGCTGCGCCATCCATCCCCCAGCACAGCTCGCTGCCAACTTCAGCAAGCAGAGCAGCACCTGGGGGGGGAGGGGGGATCAACGTGCAGCGGAGAGGTGCAGGAGGTGCCTGCCCAGACCCCCACACCGCTGCGCCCGCGTGATAAACGCGATACCAACACGAGGGTTCCGCAGGGCACGGCCCAGGCCATCCAACGCCCGTCCTGGATCGTAGTAGGGTCTTGGGGACAGAAACAATCCCACTCCACAGCTTCTGGGGGCTGCGTGGGACGGCGTGGTTCAGTGTTATTACACAGATGTTGCAGGACAACTGAACTTGGAGGTACATGGGAAATCCCAACCTGGTCTCCAACGCCTGGTCTGCATCCCAGATGGGGCAGAAAGTCCTCACACCTCTTCCCCCCCCCCCCCAGCCCAAAAAGAGATGGCCAGATCAGGAGCACTCCATGCTCTCACCCCAACCTAGAGCACCTGAGCTCCCTCCAAAAATCCCCTCTCCCACATAACCACACCCAGGAGATTATCACGAGGGCACTGTGTCCCCCTCTGGGGCCCAAAAGATCAGACGGGGCAGTGCGCGACCCTATCGCCACGAGGACAGAGCCGCTGTCTGAAAAGTACAGCACGCCCCAGCCCCAGCTGCAGTCCGAGCTCAAGTCCCCGGCAGGGAGCTTCGGTCTGGCACAGCGGGAGCATCTCGTAGCCGCTGCTGGCCGCAGCGCGGAGGAACACACCAGCGGGCTGCTGGTGCAGGTAACAGACACCGCCTGCGGTGCTCCCCCCTCCGCTGCAGCAGCTGAACACAAGCAGGTTTTGTCCATACAGAAGTCCAGGAAGACAGAATTCGCAGGAAGGCCAGGGAACAACTGCCCAACCCTCTCAGAACATCCTATGCGGCTGGACCTGAAAGTCCAGGCGCTTAATTTCCTGTCACCTCCTCCAAGAGGACACCGAATGATGACCCAGCCGCGTGTACCACCCGCCCCCCCAGGCTTCCTTCACCCTCAGAGGGCTTCTTGGTCTTTCTGAATTGGGCTGATCTCTGCCAGAGCACCAAACCAGGCTTCCAGCCCTGCAGAAGGCACAGCAGGACTGGGGAGGGTCAGGGTGGGACCTGTCCCAGCCCCAGGGCTTTGCGTGTGACAAGAAGCCACACTAGACCAGGGTGGGTTTAGCCAGGGTGTCAAGCAGGAGGCAGGGACACCTCGGCCCGCCACAGCTCCTCTGCCCACAGGGATCTCCGCGACCGCTGATATTTCTCAGGGCTCAGCAGCGATAAGCTTTTGCTTGGGGCAGCGCTGCAGACACGTGGGGAAGAGGGCAGGGGAGAGAATCACGGCTGCCGGGTCCCCAGCAGCATCACCACCAGAGCTGGCTGGGCTGCTGGGGGCTACAAACACGCGGCTGAACACCTCTGAAGCCCCAGAAAACACACCGGGCACGTCTCAGGGCTGCACCCGCTGCCTTCGGGATTACAGCGCAGAGATCTCACACACCCTTTCTCCAGGGTCTGCTCAACTGTATAAACTGCCCGCTTGATGTTTAGGGGCTACTATACAGCAGGGGTGCTGCTGTGGCTTGCACACAGCTTGCCTGGGGGGGGGGCTCCCTAAGAGCGAGGCCACAGTTGAGGTGGAAGGATGCTTTTGCAGCAAGCCCAGCACCCGTGCCATCAGCCCAGAGGTTCAGCAGAGCGGCTGCAACTTGCAGCACCCAACAGCACTCCACGCAGGCCCCGGGGAAGCTGCGGCACAACCACCCCCCCCCCCCCAGCTCGGCAAGTCGTCCCAGCCTTGCGCCACAAGTTCCCCTGCCTCCCGTCTCCAGGCTCGTGCAGAAGCTGAGCACCAGCCTGCAAAGGAAGAAGCAGGGATGCAGGAGCCAGCTTGCTCGCAAGCAGCTCCAAGGGACAGCACCAGGGGACACTAGGGACAGGACAAGACCCTTTCAGACTAAGGAGAGAAAAAAAAAAAAAAAAAATAAAAGGGGGGGCTGTCACCCGATTCAGGCCCTCTGCAGCACCCTGGGCAAGAGGCCACAAGGAACATGGGCAGGCAAGGGCTGGTGCCTGTAGGGACACCAGGCAGGGAGCAGAAACAGTCCGTCCAGCCAAATGTTTCCATTCCCCCTGTCCTCCCTGCCCCCTTCCAAAACAGCACCAAAGCAAGAGACAGCTGCAGCTTATAAGGAATGTGAGGGGCCCTGCCAGGGACTCTGGCGAGGGAAACCAGGCCTTATAAGGCCATGGAGGCAGAATCAAATTTTTATCAATGAGAGCAAGAGCATGGAGACGCCCAGGGAGAGATAAGAGCTCCAAGAGATGGCCGGGGTGGGGGGGGGGGGGTGAGCTGGGCCGGTGGGGAGCCCCGCTGCTGAAGCCCAGGACACTTGTCACCCGCTTCCCACCCTTCGGAATCGCTACCACGGGCCGAGCCAAGGAGCCAGCCCGGGGCACAAGCTGGCTCACCGGCGACACGGCAAAAAAAAAAAGGGGACTCGTCCTCAGCTTCCCGAGTTGTTTTTCGGGGAGGGCTGGGGACCGGTCGGGGGTCCCAGCTCAGCCCCAGGGGCACAGCTGTTGCTCCCCCCCCCCCTCCCCCGGGGTGCCCGGGTTAAGCACAGCAACCTTACCTTGGTTTCCCCGCTGCTGTCCGACTCGGAGACCTGGTAGGTGAGATCGGTTTCCTCGAAGCCCGTGGCGCTCATGCGCTGGTCAGTGGTGGGGTCCGAGCGCGGGGGCGAGTCGGGGGAGTTGAGGCACGTTTGGATCAGCGCCTTCCCCGTCTCGCTGGTGATCATGGGCTGCAGCTTCCGCGTGGCGAACGTGTACACGTGGCCCGTCTCGCTGGCCACCAGCAGCAGAACTTGGGTGCCGGTCAGCGTGGAGAGCTCGTAGGCCTGCCAGCAGCACGAGAACAGGGAGTCACAGGGCGGGAGGGACACGCAGAGAGCGGGGTGAGAGTCCCCGGCACCTCCGTCCTTTCGCTCCCCGCGGCCTCTCAAAGCGACTCGAGATGGGTTCCACACGGGTGGAGGTGCCCCCCATCCCCTTTAGCACGCCCACGGAGGGCGCGCGGGGCTGTCCCCACTCTGGGAATCCCACCCACTTCCCCGGGGAACATCTGGTTTGCCTCCCTGTCTCACCTCCGCCGAGCCGCGTGAGAGGATGCTACGGAGCCCCCGCGTCCCTGGCGCCCCTTTCCCTTCGCCAACACCCCGACTGGGCCGGGGACCCCGATTCCCCTTCCCCGGCGGAACACAACCACCTCCGCAGCGAGGCCACCGTCCCCGCGGGGCTAAAGGAAGGCGACGACCCTCGGTGGTTTCGCAGGCGGGGACGGCTTCGTTCCGCGTCCCGCCAGCACCCCACGACCGTCCCCCCCCCACGCTCCCCCCCCAACTATCCCGGGGTGCGCCAAAGCCCGGTTCACGCCGGGACTTGGTTGTTCAGAGGATGCTACGGGTGCCCACGGTGAGGGGTGGGGGGGGGGAAAACCCACGAAGTTTTCCAACGTGTCTTCACGCAAGAGCTCCGGCCAGCAGGAATCACGGAAAGACCGAGACATGGCGCTGGCCTTTTCCGCTAAGCCGAAGGAGACGGCCCCGCAGCCCGGTTTGCACGGGGGGGAGCTGGAGCACCCCGTAACGCCTCACGGAAAAAAAAAAGGGGGGGGGGGGGGGGGGCCGCCCCGGGACGGGTACCCTAAAGTGGGGGGGCTGCGTGACCGTGACTGCTTTGCTCACCCAAAGCACCGAGCGGAGGCTCCCGGGCCGCCCCCCCCCGCTTCCTCCCCCCCCCCCCGGACGGGGAAGCCGGCGGTGTTTCCGCGCAGGGCCGGTTCCCCGCTGCACGCACACCGCCCCCCCCCCCCCTCCCGGGGCCGCCTCCCGCCATCCCGGAGCCGCACCTTCTTCATGATGCCGGTCTTCCTCTTGCTGAAGGTGGTGTAGCGCCGCAGCTTGTTGTCGATGAACTCCATCTTGATCTTCACCCGGCCCCGCGTCTTCTTCCCGGGCTTGGCGCCGCTCACCGCCCCGCCGTCCCCGCCGCCGCCGCCGCCGCCTCCGCCGTAAGCGCCGGCCGCCGCTCCCGCCGCCGGCCCCGCCGCCCCCGCCGCCTCGGCCAGGCCACGCTTCACGCCGCGCCGCTCGCCGCCCAGCTCCTCCTCCTCGGCCGACTCCGAGTCGCCCTCGCTGCCGCTGTACAACGCCTCCCGTTCCAAGCGGCCCCCGGGCGGCCCCGCCGCCGCCCCGCCGCCGCCGCCGCCGCCGCCGTTCGCCCCACGCGGTACCGGCGGCCGCCCCAGCCCCGAGTCGCGGGCCAGCGCGGCGGCAGCGCCGTTCCCGGCGCCGGCCTGGCTCGGTAACATCGCGGCGGGTCGGGTCAGGCCGGCCCCGCCATGGCCCCACCGCCCCGCTCCGCGCTCACGGCCCCGCTCCGCCGCCGCCGCCCCCGCCGCGCCGCGCCGCCCCCATGGACCGGCGGTACAATGTTTGCCTTTTATGGCGAAGGCGCTCCTTATATGGGGCGAGCCGGCGCCCCGCCGGGGGGCGCCACCCCATTGGCTGGCGGGCGCCCCAGCGCCGGCGGCCATTGGCTGGGCGGCTCGAGGTTTGCATACGTCGCGGCGGCGCCCGCGTCACCCGCGGGGTGAGGGAGGGCGGCTCTTAAAGGGGCAGCGCGCCGCGGGGAGGTGGGGGGGGGGGGGCACCCTCTTTCGCTCCCCACGCGCTCAGTGTCCTCTCGCGTTTAAGGCCCACGCACACGCCTCGCCGTCCTCAGGACGCAGCTCCGCACCATCCTGACTGCCCCTCCGGGTTCCACCCGCGCCCTTCCCACACCCCACGGGGGACGTCTGGGGGGGGGGGGCTGCCCAGGGTCTGGAGGGACCGGCTGCAGAGGCAGCGGGAGGGTCTGGGGGGGGGGGCTTGCGTGGGTGCTCAAGGGTGGGCAGATAGGACCAAAAAAATACGTGTTGCCCAAGCAGCTGTTGACCAAAAAGGGTCTACCCCCCTCTTTGACAGGGGAGGGGAGTCCACAGGAGGAGAGAAGGGGGTCGGGGAGCTCCTCTGCCCACGGGCAGGACAGACCACCTCCATCCCTGCCAGTCCCCCGGTCCCAGTACACAGGCAGGAGCCCACGTCCACCACGAACGCGCCTCAGAGGGTTCCACCGCCCTCGTCCCCCGGCTTAGTTGTGAACCAGGACCTCCGTGGGAGAGGGACAGCCCACGCGGGCAGGACGAGTGGGCGCAAGGCCGGCTGCCAGGGACCGGGAGCTCCGAGCAGCCAGGAGAGACGGAGCCACATCCTCGGCTGAGAAAAGGGGCTCTGGTCCTCCAAACTGGGAACCGCAACCCCGGGGGCAAGCCCTCGCCCCTGCCAGCACCAGCCCCGCCACGGCCCCGGCTTGTCTCCTGGGCACACCGTGGTCGTGGCGTGGGGTGGGGGGTTCTGCCTGCCTGCACCAGCCCTCTTCCCCGCGCCCGTCGTCCCTCGGAGGACGCGCACGCTTGCCACCAGCCTTCAGAGCTGCCTCCAGAGCCAGGGAGTAACCGCACAACCAAAGCACAACCCCCCCCCACCCCATATCCCCGCCACCCCCTCCCCTCCCCGCCAGCCATGCTCCTCCAGTGAGCACACACGCCGTTTATAGCTCCCAGCAGCGCTGCTGGGACTCACATGCCTCCCCCATCACATGCCCTGGCCACCCTCTTTTTTTTTTTTTTTTTTTTTTTTTGAGCCGAGCTCCTACGACACCTGGCCCAGGTGAGACGCGGGGTCTCGCCGCGTCACGCTGTCACCGCTGTGGGGAGGCAGGATTGGGGTTCCTCTAGCCCGTGGGGACGGCTGCGCGCTCCCTCCCTCCATCCTCCTCCCCCCTGGGCCTTTTGATTGCAGGACCTGTGCCTGGAGGGGCCTTTTGCACCCCAAGGCTGCAGGAGAGCCTGCCCCGGGGGCAAGAGGGGCGAGCTGGCTTCATTCGGGGCTGGCTCACCAACCCTTCCACAGCCTCATCGCGGGGACGTTTTCCGAGACGCTCTCGCCCCACTTGTGCTCCGAACGGGACCAGAGCATCAGCCTGCCTCCGAGCTTCCCGGGATGCTGATCTCTCACCCGACGCACACTGCGGAGCCAAGCCCCGTGTCCCCAGGCCACCACCACCACCCACAGCACACCAGTCACCAGCAACAACCGGCCTTCCTAACCAAACCAGCACCCCGTGGCAGCCGAACGCAGCTTAATCCAGGTTGTTGGCCGCTTGACAGTCCCGTTTCATCTTCAGGGCTGTTCTCATTTACAACCCCCCCAGCCACGAAATTCACATTTCTAACCCTCTTACACAGCTCCACAAAAAAAAAAGCTTCTTAACCCAGCACCCCGCAAGGATCCCTCCAGCCAAGCCGCTGCCTGTGCCAGCTCCGGCGCAGCACGGGCCCCGATGCCAGCCACCCCCAGCCCCCCGTGACCCCTTTGCAATCCTGCTCTAGGACATTACAACAAGCCCTTTCTCACCCTTTTCCAGCTCTTCCTCCGTATTTCAACTGGGGAACTACCAAACACCCTCTGTATTCAACACTGGGGTTGTGATGGTTTCCATCCCGTTACCACTCTCCTTACTATTGATACTTCAGCTGCTTTTTTGACTGCTGCTGAGTACAGGTAGAAGCTTTTTTTTTTTTTTTTTTTTTTTTTTTTTTTTTTTTAAACAGCCGTATTTCTTCTACAAGCAGTAACAACCAGGCTGGGGGTCCCGCTGCACATGTAAAATGAAGTTAGGGCCTTTCTGAACACGCTTTTTTCAGTCAGCAGAGGGGTGCTTCTGGCCTTCACACACGGTATCAGAGATTAGCACGAGCGGGGCATCATCAGCCCACGAGGGATGATGAGGGGGTGTCTGAGGGTGAACCCCCTGCCCTCGCTATTGTCCCACAGAACCTGAGCAGCGCAGAGACGGGTGCTGGTAACAGGGTCCCTCCACACAGCAAGCGATTAACCAAGGTCAGTATCCACCCAGTCAGGGCCAAAATCAGGACCGGATAATAAGGCTACAATATACGCCTAGAAGACAGGACTAGAGGCAAAACCAAAACAGGAACGCCTACAAGATGGCACAAACCAAAACTGAAGACCCAGGCTCGAGCTTAAATGCAGCTCCAGAGGGCGGGGGAGTCCCAGGTGATGCTGTTTAGGACAATTAAAGCCCAATTAGTTCCCCTCCAGGTGCCTGGCACGGCCGCCTAAGAGCCACAAGGCAGCAGATGAAATCAGAGCAAACCAAAAAGTGCTTCTTCAAGCTGCATAGTGGCTCGTCGCCGCCCTGGGGTGCTCCAAGCATCCAAGTTCCCCTGACACCTAGGCATAAGTTTCTTGAAAGGAAAACCGCCGAGGACCGATGGAAATGCCTGGTTTGAAGGTTCTTTAGGGAGCTGCTAGCTGGGACAGTGCACAGCTGCTTGCGATCCTCTTCTGCTGTTCAGTAAATGTTCAGTTTTGGCCACAGCTGGCAGCCCACTAGGTAGACCTTTGCTCTGATGGAGCCGTTCTTTCTGGCCCTGGGTACCACAGCTTGTCTTCCTTTCCTGAGTTGTTTTGGGGGCTTTTTTGTTGTTGTTTTTTTTTTTTTTGTTTGTTTTAAGATGTTCCTTCAATGTGCGCTGAGGCAATCGGATCCCACTTCTGTCAGCTGCCCCAGGCCTCTCATTCTCCTGCAGGGGCTCCGATTTTCTGCCCTCCTCCACCGCATTTAGCTAGGCCTGTATTTGCTCAGCTTGCTGTTTCCAATTAGCTTGGCCAACATCTGTCCCATCGCCAAGGATACAGAACTTTTTCATGACATCACTCCCAAAAATACACAACCCCCAACCCCCCTGTCTTTCTGCACCCTTCGGGTCTGGAGTTTGTCCTAGCTTTGGTGCCTCTCCATCTGGGTGCTGTCACCCGGTCTTGACCGCACGGTAGACAGGCACTCGAGTCCCCCCCCCCCCCCCCCCAAGATGCGTTGGGATAAAGCGGGGCGCCCCATCCTGACACTGCTCGCAGAACCAGCAGTACGCCGCGAGAGACACCCGCGTGCACGACGCTGGCAGAGCAAGGACGTCACTCCAGAAGTCCCTGGCATCTCTCTTCTCCAGCTGGGCCATCGCAGGGATGCTGCTCGGCTAGGCCACCCCAAGTGACGGTGCCCGGCTCCAGCTCCGGCCCACCCAGCGGCATTTTGAGCGAGCACAAACGCCAGCCCTGCTGCTCTGCGTCACGTCCAACACCGGGGCAGCAAGGTGGGAGGACAGGGGCTCATTCGTTGGGTCCGGCAGGCAGGTTGGCCTTCAGCTGGGTCGCTCGCTGGCCTGGCTGATGCTGTACGACTGCCCTTACCCGCCCCTCGCCTCCCAGACACTCGCTGAAGACCATGGGGGGGGGAGTAGGTAACCCCCGCCGAGGGATGAGATGAGATGCTGCAGCGTAGGAACGCTAGTCCAGCTAGGAGCGAGCGACAGGCTCCGATAGGATCTATCCACAAATGTCCAAGGAAGCAGTTGCAGAACCATCTAGGAGTATTTCTGGGGCAAGATATGCTCTAGAGGTAAAAAAAAAAAAAACAAACCATACTACAGGGACGCACAGGCAGGACAAGACACATTCCTTAGTGACTTGGCTGCAGGAATCAGCCCACGAGTGTGCAGCCCTGCTGCCCGAGAGATGTAGGGCAGCAGGCAAGAAGGTCCACAGGAACGGGATACGGGTGGGAGAGACGGAACGAAAGGGCATCAAAGACCAGCAAACGCACGTGAGAGGTCCCTCGCAAGTTGGAGAGCACGCATGCAGCAGTGCTACAGCACTTGCACGCTTCGGCCGTGTTGGGAGACACAGTGGGAAGGACTAAGAGAAGCAACAAGAGGGACGCTGAGCTGCTGGGGGGTTAGAGAAAGCACATCGGGAGACCTCTGCCCGTAACAGCTCATCCCAGCGTGCGCAATGCCACAAGCCCCAGGCTGCGATGGCCAGGCCACCTGGAGAAGGGTCGCGGAGGCAGAAAGGGTTCAGGGTGACGATGACCTGCTGCCAATCCCACCGTGTAGAGGAGCAGCAGGTCTAGGGAGGAGAGAGGGGCCCAGCAGCCAGCCACAGCCGGACCTTAGCTCGCCAAGGCGTCTTGGCTTGGGGAGGCTCCACAGTTCCCAGCTGCCAGACGCAAGTCTCAGAAAAGGGACAAAACGCTTTAGATAACCCTGCTCTACAGCCAGCAAACTCGCTTGAGCAGAGAGGTCCAGCTGACCCCCCCCCCGCCTCCCAAACCCTGGCCCAAATCTCAGCTCGGAGCCAGCTAGCACATTCCAAGAAATGAGCCGTCTTCACCCTCCAGCATCTCCACAGCCTCTCTGGGTAGGGGATCGTGGACATTTCTGGTCTATCCCCGCTTACAGCACAGCCAACTAGATCGGGCTGTTCAGGTTTTATC